AAAGAAGAGAAAGAGAGAAAGGAGGAAGGAAGGAAGGAAGGAAGGAAGGAAGGAAGGAAGGAAGGAAGGAAGGAAACCCAAGACCAGAAGCCCCAAATTGCCTGAGATTCTTTCTTTTGGATTAAATATAAACTGGTGGTGCCTTTTAGAGAAATTGGTTTGTACACCAAAATTCTCAGAAAAGCTGTAAACTCTTGAAGACAGTAGAAGGCAAGTCAGCAGTCCGCCAGACACCAGGCTGAGCTCTTACTCAGTGAGTCCCCAGAAGAAAGACGTAATAAAGCAGCTCATCCCGAACCAGGTCCTGGGACATACTTTCAGGCCGTCCTAAATGACACATACCCTTCTTTTCCTATTTCTAAGAGTCAGAGAAAAAGATCTTACAAGCCAGAGAATAAAACAAAACATCAGTAAATACTCACAAAAATTAGTTTTATTAACTTACTGTGCAATTTGAGAATGGGATATCTCAAGTCTTTGGTCAGCACATTTTATAATTTCTTCATATGACGTTACCTTGGGAAAATAAATATTTTTTTTAATAAATACAAGTATTTGCATCTATTTTTTTTCCTTTTTAAGAATCTTTACAAGTTGAAGTTTAATTATTTGACTACCATAAATGAAAATTCTACAGCAGACAAAACATCCTTTTTCCATTTGGATGTCAGGAATATGAGTAACAACAGAGTCAGGCTCACTCTTCAGGCTGGAAATGTGAGTCCCAGAAACTGGATAGCTCCAGTGAGTGCACTAAAATCCATCTGTCTCCCACACAACAACCCAGGGTAAGGATTATAGCCTGTTTGGTTAAAGTTAATGCAGTCTTTGTTTGTTTCTTTGAATAAACTACAAACTTGGCTCATGTCTGCAGTTTCAGCACTTGGGAAGCTCAGACAGTAAAAATTGACATTTCAAGGCCAGACTGGGCTTACATATTATGGTGACACTGTATCAAAAGACAAAAAGGAAAACAAACAAAAAAAAGTACAACACTAAGTTGGCAAGATACTTAATTAACTTGAAGGTAAAGTAGGGAAATTAAGACTTTAAGATGCCAGGAGCAATGTTTTGGACACTTTCCAGCTCTCCAGCTAAAGGGCCATTTATATGCATTGCCAGTTAAAGGGAACAGTCTAAAGAGGCTTAGCAAAGCTCAGATCACTTTAGTGCTGGAGTTCTATTAGTTTTGATGCCACATTTTTGTTTAGTTTTATTGTTGCTGTTTGGTTTGGTTTTTAGGCTGAAGACCAAACCCAGGGCACAGAGCCAGATCCCTATCCTGACATCATTTTTTGAAGTCATTTCTTTCTTTCTTTCTTTCATTTTTTTTTTCTATTAGAAAACTTGTACCTTATTTATTAGGCTGCCTACATGTCTCCGGTACTTGTCATTCTCCTCAATGAGTTTGCTGTAGTGGTCTTCTTTGCTCTCCAGAAGGCCTCCCAGCTTTGTGATCTATAGAGAAACATCAGTGGAAATGTAACCTGGAAACCACCACGAAACAGGGGTAAAAAAAATGAAAACAACAAGCTATATTTTAATTCTAGTGTTCTCTGAAAGTGAGTTCTGCTAAAGCGAGATGTGACGTAGATGCCAGATCTGGGGATAGATTGCATATAGAACATACGAGCAGGAATTATAATCAACTAATCAATTGTGTTATTTTCTAGTATGAAACAGCTTTGTACATAACCAGGCACCTGCTAGTACCTACAAGCAATAATCACATGCAAATTCATTACTCCCCATCATGCAGGTAACCCATGCAGAGGCATGTTTGAGTCTGAGTTAAAGGGGTGTGTGTGACGATGCATGGCAGGTCTGAGACATACCCGCCCATGCAATGATGCTCATTTCTGAGGTTCAGCTTAATGTACGTCAGGGTCCAGCATATCATCCATCCTTTGCAAAAGTGCTATTGAAAATTAAAAATTATACAGGTTGGCAAGATGGCTTAGTGGGTAAAGGCACCTGTAGCCATAGCTGATGATCTGAGGTCTATCCCACAGACCCATGTGGAAAGGGAAAAGCAACTCCTGATATATGTCTCTATCCCCAATGACACTTTGCATGACAATATGGTTACACACACACATACATGCATGCATGCGCACACACATACAATCAATCAAATGTAATAAAAGTTTTAAATAAAAACTTACTTTTTTTCTGAGAATGGTACTTAGAGTCATTAGGAAAGCTTATTAACACTTTTTTTTGAAAGTTAATTTTCAAAGCAATTATAGAAGAAAAACTATAGAAAGGTACCTACTAACTAGTAGTGCAAAAGTGATTTTCAGTCTTCTCACACTTTATAGTTATGTGTTAGGGGTTGGTCTGGTGCTGTGTATTCAAATGCTGGTTTTGGTGCCTTGAGATCTGGTTACTGACCTGCCACAGGCATTGATATTATAGTTGAACTATCTCCTGTAGCCATGTGATGAGAAGGAATGTTCCCTAATTATCTCTGATTGGCTGATTAAAAGGCCCACACTGGTCTTATTGTTCCTGAAGATATTTCTATATCCCCCTTCTTTCTTTTCAACTTACCTAAGATAGATAGATAGATAGATAGATACATAGATAGATAGATAGATACATAGATAGATAGATAGATAGAAGAAAAAGAAATAAGAGAAATCTGAGTCTAAGTTTTTATACCTTGGATGTTTTTCTCCCCCCCAATCTTGCATGGTTCGAAAGGCACATATTGTAACTTAACACACATGAGCCCACAGGCTAGGACAGTTCACAGGTGCTGTGCCTAGCTGCTGCCTGCAGCTCAACTCTCACTGAACAGCAAGGGATTCGGAGACTTGGTGGGTGAGAGGCGGAACTGGGAGGGCAGTCTTCTAGACTGAGTTGGGGAATGACATTAACTTCCTAGATTGAAAAAGAGAGACTGCTATGGTCTCTCTCCAAGACACCACGGCAGAGGGTACTTGGATCCTTCGTGGCTTTGTTCTGGTTGTTGTCATGGATCTGTTTGCAATGTGTTCAATGGTGATCACGATTTTCCAAGCCCTCTCTAGAAAAGTTTAAGGGAGAGGTGAGGAGAAGGCAGAGAGATACGGGGCTGGAGAGATGGCTCAGAGGTTGAGAGCACTGGCTGCTCTTTCAGAGGTCCTGAGTTTGAACTCATGATGGCTCATGACCATCTATAAAGACATCTGGTACCCTCTTCTGGTGTGCAGGTGTACAGGCAGACAGAACACTGTACACATAATAAATAAATAAATCTTTTTAAAAAAGGCCCAAGAGATACAATGCTAAGTTATAGGCAAGAGAAAGGAAGAAAGAAAAAGTGCTCTTCCAGGTATAAAATAGATTGGTAGCTATTAGCTCAGCTGTTAGTAGCGGCTGGAGTTCAGAGCTCTCTGGCTGCAAAGATGTTTGTCAGCTATTTCTGGAAAGGGCAAAGGGCCTGCTGATACACTTTAGCAACAACTAAATTCCAAGGATTGATGGACAGGACTTACTTGTTGCAACATGAGATGGCAATAATAAGTCACAGGGCTTCTGTAGCCAACAATAATTATTGGCTGTGCATAGATATTTATGTCTCAGCCAGTCTCAGAGCTATTCCCATGTAGCGGGATCAGCAACATAAGTTACCTGGTTTGTTCTGTAGTTTGAAGTCATGTAAATACATTTAATTTAGCAGTCTCTCTTTTACTTAGGTCTATATATTACCATTATCATTGGACATACAATCATTATCACGTTGGTTGAAATCAAAACAAGGTTGTATATATCTAAATATCTTTCTCTGGGCTCTTAGGTGCCTATTGTACTAGGCCACTGGGCAAAGAAAATGCCCTTGTTTCTATCACAGACTGAATTCTGCCTAAAATGAGCAAACTTGGATGCAGGCCAAGTCGACTGCTGAATTCTGCCAAAACAGGGTAAGCAAGTCCTTAATAGTTCCTGTTTCACAAATACATCTGTTAAATATACTAGGCCAAAAGGCTGAAGATGATGCTCCAACATTATAGAGTTTTGTGTGGCTGTCTAGGGAGCGAACTGTCTCTATCATTTTTTATTTTTTGAAAGCTGCTAACCTGCACTTCTGTTTACTCAGGTAATTAATTTTATTCCTTCTCAAGTCTCTGATGGGTTGAAGACCAGATAGTTATAGTTTTATACTTAAGTTTAGTTGCTTAGAGAATTAAAAAGATGTGTTAAGGTCTAGATAGATGTTTTAAGGTTATAATAAAGTTATAATAAAAATAATTTGGATACAAAACTTTAGATTCCCCAAGATAGGATAGTATTTTCTTCAAAGTTGCCAAATATCTTTAGAATGGACTTTAGATATGTAAATCTTGCCTGTTGGTCTTTACAATTTTTTCATAATTGTGCTTATTGTATATTCTGTTATAAAGATGGCCTTTTTATTTAGGCAGAAAAGGGCAATTGTCGGGGGTTGGTCTGGTGCTGTGTATTCAAATACTGATTTCAGTGCCTTGAGATCTGGTTACCTGCCATCGACATTGTTATTAATGTTGAACTCTCTCCTTTTCCAAGTAATGAGAAGGAATGTTCCCCAATTATCTTTGTTTGGGTGATTAAAAGGCCTACACTTGGTCAGGGCAGAAGGTGTTAGGTGTGGGTAAGGTTCGAGGCTTGGGGGTCAGAAGGATCATGGGAAGGAGACGGTTACAGGAAGAGGAAGAAGGAAGAAGATGCTGCCATGGGTTAGGGTAGAGAAGCACATAACCAAGCAGCATAGATGGAGGAAATTAGCTCAAATGAAAAACATTAGCAAGTATTTTGGGATTATGGATGGGAGGTAGCCCAGATAGGAATGATCAAAGCAGATGGCCTGGGATCAGGGCTTAGAAGTGATAAGGATAGTTTAGAGGGTTAATATCTGCCATGCCCATGTGAAATAAGGCTGTTCTAAACTCTATGAGATGTCTGTGCCTTTTATTGTGATAGTGGGTTAGATAATACGGCCATAATAATTTTAAGGCTAATAATGTGATTAGCCTGATAGCCTTTATTTTCTGCAACAGTTATGTTCCTGTAGAGAAAGACCCCAGGAAGCAGTGGGAAAGCCATGTGCTGGAGGAGCTGCAACATTCCCTTCCTCTCCTTCCTCCTCTCTTCATTCCAGAGATGGGAACAGAACCCAGGGCCTAGAGCGGGATAGATCAACTCTACTTCCAGGCTATTTTATTTTATATTTATTATATTATTATTTTTTAAAATTTCGAGGCAGGGTCTCCCTAAGTTGACCAGGCTGGCCTTGAATTCAATATATAGCCTAAGTTAGTCTTGAACTTGAAACCCTCTTTCCCCAGCCTCCAGAATTCTGGGACTATCGGCATGTATCCCCACTTTTCTTCTCTTTCGAGGATGAATGGCTATGTAATAAATACAGTGCATAATTCTGCTTTTAAGTTAATTGGGAATATGCAAGGGTAGACTTCTGTGCTATATCAGAGACCACATCACACTTTTTCATTATGGCGAGACCTATAGGGATTTCTAGTATTATTTTAATTGTATTTGTGGCACAGTGTAATAATATAACATACACAAAATCTAGAGTGGTAAAATTAGGACAGTGCAGATTTCCATCTCTTTAAAAAATCTTTGACTATCACATATATATATATATATATATATATATATATATATATATATGCAGCTAAATGACTGGAACTGGAGGAGATTATAGTCAATGAAATAAATAAGCCCAGGAAGATAAGCACTGTGTGTTCTGGTTCATAGACAGACACCTTTAGACAGTCGAAGTGAATGTGTACAGTAGTGCTCTGTAGAGGGTGGGAGGGCTAGGGGAGAAGACGGGGTAGCAGGAGGCTGGGTAACAGGTATCAAAACACAGATCGTAGGAATAAGATCCAGTGTTCACAGCAACAGGAGGCATAGCCTGTAAATAATCAGAACGGAAGTGGCCAAAACTCCAAACACAAAGTTATGGTAAGAAGAAAGACATTTGATTAATACACACTGTATATGTATATTAAAATATAGTATGGAACAGAGAAAAAATATGCCCTACCAACTCAAATTTTTATTTTGTTCTCTGTAGCTATCTAAACACTAAAATCAGGTTTTCATTTTCTTCTATTTTCCTGTGTTCTCATTTGTACCACCTGAGGTAAACAGAGTTATTTCCAATCATTGTTATTGAAGGCAGCTACTATAGTAGATACACAAAAAATCAAGTGTGCCTTATCCACAGTGAAAAGCGGTACATATTTTGTAGAGCTGTGTGTGGTCTGTATCTGTAAGCCCAGAACTTCAGGAGCTGAAGTGAGGCATTGTGAGACGAAGGCTGCCTTGAACTAGACAGTACAATCCTCTCTCAAAATAGACAGACCAACAGACAGACAGTGGGCTGGAGAGATGGCCCAGCACTTTGGTTCTCAAGCACCAACATGAACTACCTCATTATCAACTGTAACTCCAGCTCCAGGTGAGCTGGCACCCCTTTCTGGCCTCTGAAAGCACCTGCATGGATGTACATATACACATATAAATAACATTTCAAAAAATAAAAATAAAAGGAGGGATACAGCCAGTGTTGGCATGTTTGTCTGGCATGAGGAAAGCCTTGGATTTGATCCTTAGAATTGGGGAAAATAAAAGCATGTTTATCTTTTGGTTTCTGCATTTTGAAAGACATAAATCTTACTAGTCTAAAAACAAATCAAATTAAGCAATATTTACATTTTTATAATCATCTTTAAAATTTATTTTATCCATATTTTGTGTATGGGTTTTGTCTGCATATGTGTCTGTATACTGCTTGCATGCCTGGTATCTGGAGAGGCAAGAAAACATTGGATTTCATGGAACTGGATTTACATACAGACAATTGTGAGCTACCTTGCAGGTGCTGGGAATTGAACCTGGGTCCTCTGGAATTGCAGCTTAAGCAATTGAGCCCATTTCTCCAGCCTGATATATAGAATTTTAAAACATAAAAACACTTCCATACTTTATTGGTAATGCTGCCATAGCACCAGTGTGAATATTTTAATGAGCAATACTTCGGAGGTTGATAACTTATTAAAATTTAATGGATGATACTGGGTATAAAAAGGACCATAAGTCATTGGTCTATCTTACCAAGAAATCAAGCTCCTCATTTAGGTTGTGGTATTTATCCAGTTTGACTGCCAATAACATAGGAGCTTCTCTGGCATTCCTGGCTTCTTCTGCATCAAAATCTGTGACCTGAGATTAAACATGTTTGTACACATTTCAGTACTTAACCACTGCTATCATTTCACAGTATTATTTTAACTTGAGAAGCAGAGAGAGAGGTCTCGAGAGATGGCTCAGTAGTTAAGAGCATTTGCTGATCTTACAGAAGACCCAGGTTCAGTTCCCAGCCCCACATGGGGTCCACACAAAGTCTGTAATTCCAGTTCCATGGGATCTGATGCCCCAGTCTGGACTCCTCAAACACTGCATAAATGGCATAAATGTGCTGCACATACTTGCAGGCAAAACACACTCTTACACGTATTTTCTTTTTAAGACTCAAAGAGAGGATTAAGTGATATGAGGCTGGATTCAAAGAAGTACAAACTTTTGGGGAGGTAGCAGTGCATGCCCTTAATCCCAGCACTTGGGAAGCAGCAGCAGGCAAATCTCTTTGAGTTCAAGACCAGCTTGGTCTACTGAGTAAGTTCCAGGACAGCTAGGGCTACACGGAGAGACATCGTCTTGAAAAACTGGGAGGGAAAAAAAAAGTACAGAACTTAGAGCTAGAAGGACTTCAGTGAATTTGTCAAGAGAACATAAATATCTGTACTTACAGGTTGGAGACAAAGCATAACGTGCTAAACTCACCTCAACAGTGTGATCTTGAAGTGCTTTTTCATTAGCAATTAACTCTTTAAGAGTTGCAATTCTGTTTTTATGTTTCAATAGCTAGGAAGAAAGCATTTCATATTTTAGAGGGAAAGAAAGAAAATTGCCTACTAGAACATTTTTGATAAAGTTACCCAACCATGCAAAGTCTAATCTTTAATGCCGAAGTGATGTAATTACTTCAAGCACTTCCCAGTATGAGAAGACTTCCCACAGTGGGCCTAAGACTGCTGTGCTGAGCAAGAGCAGCTAGCAAGTCACCCAGCACCCCGCACTGTCTGAGGTTTCGATGGCACCTGCTATGAACGACTCAATGGGCCGAACCCCGCTACTCATAGCGCGTTGTTTACACTGAATGCTTGCCTGCTTTCTGGTGGGATGGAACGTGGTATGTGATTCCCCAAATAAAAATTCTCTATGGACAAGTCATTATTGACCTTCCCTGGAAGATAGCCCTTGGGCCTGTGACCACTGTTCAGTGCTGGGGAAATGATGCAGAAACTCTGTGCCCCCTCCAGGGCACATGGGAACCTCTTCCCTTCTGATGCACCCCCCCTGTGCCTTTCCCTGGCTGCTTCCCCCGGGCTGCCTTATGGTGTAAGACAACTTAGTTAGGAGTGCAGTCGGGTGCTGAATCCCATTCCGTCCCTGGAGTTCGTAGAAGAAGGAGAGAACCAACTCCTGAAAACTGGCTTCTGCTCTTCACGCATGCGCTGTGGCCCATGTGTGACCCCCCCAACACACATTAATAAATACAATTAAATTTAATTTTTTTTTTTTTTGCAGTGAAGATACTCTAAGTGCCTCTGTTCCAACCCTTTTTCCCAATGAAGAAATAAAGGGTTTGATTTTAAATGTGTCCAAGTGACAAGGTTTGAAGCCACTATAAGAAGTGTGAAAAAAAAAATCTCTTCTTTAGAAACCAGTAATGCCATTTAAAAATGAAAAAAAAATGTAGAAATTAAAAAAAAATTTATTATACTTATGTACTTTCATGTTTGTGTATATGCTTTGTGGCTATGTATGTGGCAGTCAGTCAGGGGAAAACTTATGAAAGTTTGTTCTTTCCTCCTACATGTGGGGTCCCAGGGGTCAAATTCAGGTCCCTGGGCATGGTGGTATGTGTCCCTAGCTACTGAGCCATCTCATCACCCTGGTGAATAAAATTTTCCAGTGCAGATTCAAGTTGTAAATAAGTCAAATGTTGAATATTGTATTTAATTCTAAGAGGCTGGTCTGGTCCCCAAGCACATCTTAAACAAATCCACAATGCTGGGAGCAGCTGTTCTGTGGTGTTACAAGCTACTTCCCTCTAGACTGAATTGGGTTTTAGAAGAAAAAACACAGTACCTCTTTATCTAAATCTTTCTTTTTATTCTGAAAGTCCTTCAATTTTTGCAGCATTACATCATTAGCTCTCTTACTCTCTTGGCAGTGTTCAGCATCAGGAATGTTGAGATCCTAAGGATAAGGATGGTTTGAGAAACTAGATTGATTTTCGTTGAAGCTAAAATGAAGGGAAACCTCCTTTCAGACATAAGGGGCCAAATGAGATAAATCATATTGACTCCCATCCTTCAAATGTTCTTCATCATCTCACTATGCGTTAATATGAAAGCCTGCTTGGAAATTCACACGTGCTCATGCACGGCTGTTAAGAGTGGGGAATGTACTGCTAATGCTCACCTAAGAAAAATGCACGCTTACATTCATACATATTATCAACCCTTAGCCTGGCCTGTCTACATATCCAAACCTTAAATAAATTGGTACCTCTGTCGGAAGAACAGTCAGACATCTACGAAATTACTGTACATGAGCAACTGTTGGAAGGATGGGATGAAAAAGCTGGTAACCAAGAAAGGTCTGTACCACATTTGATTGGAACCTTTAAAAACAGTTTTGTGTTTGTGGGCCATAGCTTTGTGATCTATGATCTGCACACCACAGACTTAGCACGCTATCTGACACTCAACGAATACTAATGTTCAACAACCGTTAGCTGGATGAGACGAAGGTTTTTGTCTTATGTTAAAAACATGGCAATGCCTGGCAGTGGTGGCACATGCCTTTAATCCCAGATATTGGCAGGCAGAGGCTGAGATCTCTTGAGTTCTAAAGCCAGCCTCATCTACAGTGTGGTTCCAGGACAGTTGGGGCTACACAGAGAAACCCTGTCTACAAACAAACAAACAAACGAAACAAAGGAAAAAAAACCCAAAGCACGGCAAGCTATGCCCTCAAATTTGAGTTCAGATAAGTGTGCTTACAGTGGAAGAAGTGTACAACAGAAAAAAATGGCTAATTTGAAAATCTAGCAAGTACACACTCTTTCACATCATTTTTGTTGAATGCAGTTGCTGCCCAGGACAGAAGCACTTATGGTTCCCTATTTAAGGAAACTGGCTGAGAAACATTATGTTACTTGGACAAGTCATACAGCCAAGGCATGTGAGGCCAGGATTTGAACTCATTGATACTTTGTTTTAAAATTATTTATTTAGGGCTGGAGAGATGACTCAGTGGTTAAGAGCACTGGCTGCTCTTCCAGAGGTCCAAAGTTCAATTCCCAGCAACCACATGGTGGCTCCCAACCATCTACAGTGAGATCTGGTGCCCTCTTCTGGTGTGCAGACAGAACACTATATACATAAAAATAAATCTTATTTACTTATTTATTTATTTAATGGATAGATAGGTGTTTTGCCTGCATGTAGGTCTGATGCCTACAGAGGCCAGTTAGCTCCCCTGGAAACTGAGATTATAGGGGGTTCTGAGCCTCCCTGTAGATGCTGGGAATTGAACATTTGTCCTGTGGGACGGTAGCTCAACCCTGAGCTACCTCTCCAAAACTTCATTTTTCATTCTGCTCATGTGTACAGTTGCCTGTCCCAAACTATTTTTTAATCAAGCAAACAACTCATTAATGTGAACAATCACTGAGGGAGGACTGACCCAGAATATAAGACTCTGGAAAGAAGAAGATGGCTACTTAGTATTTTTATTCTTTATCACTTTATCTTTCCATCTGACTATATGCACCTGTTAGTACCAGATGTTGAAGATAAACAGTACAGAGCATGGGGAGCAGAGGAGGGCTGCATGGGTGGCGGTCTGGCTCTGTCTTTTCTTCTGTAACTTAATTCTGTGACCTTTCACAGCCTCTCTCAGTTCACTCCAACTGAAGGAAATGATTTTTTTTTTTTTTTACCTGACATGTGAGAAGTCCTATTGTCAGGGCCAAAAGACTGTGAATTCTAGAGGCCAGTGGAGAAGTTCTCTTCATAGGTTGAAGTTGCAGGTTTTCTTTACAAGATGAGCAATTCAGGAACAAATTAGAATGTGTCCCCTTTGTATCCTACATGTACACAATTCAGATTTATCACAATGAAGCCAAAGGAGCACGTTAGCTTTTAAATAAAATGCTGGTAAAACACTATGCTTAAAAGCTCTGAGCAATGGTTCTGAAGTGTTTTTCCTTGGGATCCCTTTATATTCTTAAATTTTCTCGAGAAAAACAGGGCATACTTTAATACAAAAAAAAAAAAACAAAAAAAAAAAAAAAAAAAAAAAAAACAAACCTGAGTCCGTATTTTTCACATTAGAAATTGTAACAGTGTATTTTAGAGTATTTGTTTACTAATTCAGTTGTCTAACAATCCATTATGTCTAAACATAAACAGACCTTTTATTAAAACTGTATTTTTAAAAATAAAAACACTACCAAAGGAGAAGTTTTCTAATTTTTGCCGTTTTGGGTGGAGGGGTGAGGAGTGGTGGTGGTACTGGGGATCAGACTCAGGTTCTTAAGTAAGTGCCTTGGCTCATTTTTGACTAATTTTAACTCTATAGTTGGAAAGGATTTTCATCTTTGATCCACACATCCAGTGGTGGGAGTGGAGCTCTTTGAGAGGATTAGAAGGATTAGAAGGCATGGCCTTGTGATAGTAGGTGTGGCTTTGCTGGAGGAAGTGTGTCACTGAGAGTGGTAGGCTGTGAAGTTTCCAAAGCTCCTGTCAGGCCCAGAGTCTCTCCCTCTCTGCCTACAGATCATGAAGGCGCTTCAGTGCCTGCCCTTGTACAGACATGCTCTCTGCCATGATGCTAACAGAGCTAACCTCTGGAACTCTAAGTCCCCAATCAAATGTTTTCTTTTATAAGAGCTGCCTTCGTCATGGTCATGGTGTCTCTTTCACAGCAAAAAACAGTGACTAGTACACATCCTGTCAGCCAGGAGTCAATTTCTTTACCACATGTCACAGAGCTTCTAAAATATCATATACTTGTGAAGTAACAATGGGAAAAACAATAATGTCTTTTGAGAAAGGATATCAGAATCGGTATTCCCACATGCAGAGCAAATTCTCCACTAATTATCTGCCCCTGCCCATTCTTTACAATCGTAAGACAGTGTTGCCAAGGCTGGCTTCAAATTTGGGATCATTTTGCTTCAGACCCCAAATGTCTGAGGTCATAAGCGTGTGCATTACACCCAGCAACAGTAATGCCTTTTCTTCCACGCTGTTAGCTCAGTTACAGACATATATAGTATTACTACGTGAGTTCCAGAGTCTGAGCCACTTTTCAAAGTGATTGTTCCTTTTAAAAATACTTTTCATCTGTTGAATACATAAAAATATCCTTATTATTTATTACATTTCATTTCGTGTGTGCAGTACATGTGGAGGTCACAGACGACTTCTGGAGGTCAGATCTGTGCTTCCACCATGTGGATTCCAGGGACTTACCTCAGCTTCTCAATCTCCAAGGCAAGTGCTTTTACCCAGGAAGCCCTCTTGCCAGTTCCCAAACAACCTTATTCCTTAAGTGGCTTGTGTCTTACTATAAAAGGTGCCACCAGGCAAGGCATGGCGGCTTACACCTGTAATCCAAGCATGGATTCATCTAAAACAGGAAGATTACCACAAGCCCGAAGCCAGACTAGGTCATATCATAAAACCCTGTCTCCCCCAAAACAAAACAAACCAACAACAAAAAACAAACAAAAGGATGGGAGAGAGGAAGGGAGTAAGTTATGTTGGGAAGAAGGGAGGGAGAAGGAAGGGGTATCGGATACAGATCTAAAGCCCAGGGTCATCATAACCAGTAATTGTCATCATAACCACTTGTTTTCCACTGTGAACAGTAAATACTTCCTGGGGTCCTCATCACAGCAGCGCTGATGCTCTGCTTCAGAATTACTCTATTGGAAGCACCAAAGAAGACACAGAGATGGAAGGCAGAAGAAGAAATAGCTACACCACACCAGTCACCAATCTTAATATTACTATAATATGCTCTCCGACCATATTTTGAGAGAACAGACCTAGAATAGCAAAAATTTGGAGATGTTAAAGAAATCCTTTGGTCAAGATTAGACCAAGAACTTTACTTCTTCTTCCCCTCCCTCCTAATCCTCCAGATGGGGTTTCTTTGTGTATCCCAGGCTGTCCTGGAACTCGCTCTATAGACCAGGCTGGCCTGGAACTCACAGAGTTCCATCTGCCTCTGCCTCCCAAGTGCTGGGATTAAAGGTGTGTGCTACCACTGCCAAGCGAGAATTTGACTTCTTAACAAGAAAACTAAGAGAAAAAAAAAAATCTACATCGTTTTTAACCTCTATAGTCAAACCATCTGGAAAGATACCGTGGTTGGGAGGACTAAGACTTCTGCTAAAGTCAGCTGCTTTGAAAAGGAGGCCCCTGGAATAGCACCATTTTATTCCTCTTGGGGTATCACTGCAACTGCGTGCTCAGCCAGTCTGCGTGTCATCAGCTCCTTCAGGCCATGTTGCACTTGTCTGAGTTTGAGGATCACTAATCTAGGTAATCTTTAGACAGCTTTTTTAGTGTTTTGATTTTGATTTTTTTAAACTAAGAAAACAACAGTATTTTCCAAAAAAAAAAAAAAGAAAAATCCCAAAACTAGATTTACTTTCAAATAACACTGCTAATGATTATGAAAATGATTCCGCTCTTGCTTCTTTTGCTTCTTTTACTCTCTCTTTCTCCGTGCCCCCTCCCCTTTTCTCTCTCTCTCTCTCTCTCCCCATCATGTCCTGTTCCCCCTTCCCTCCATACCCACCTAATAAACCTCTTGCATAGAAAAAAAAAAAAAAGAAAAAGAAAATGATTCCATGATACCTTCAAGGCAACATTGAAAAAACACACAAACACACACACACACAGCTGGGCAGTGGCACATGCCTGTCATGTCCTACTTGGAAAGCAGAGACAGGAAAACCACCAGAAATCGGAGGCCAGCCAGGTCTACATAGCAAGCCCAACCAACCAACCAAATAATAATCTCTAAAGAAAAATAGACTTGCCCAGTTGTCCAGCTCAAACTGGCTTGCTTGCTTCAGCAAGTTGTCCACGCGCATGCACCCCCATAGCTGCCACCAGATCAGCTTTTTTTCTGAACAAGATCTTACTTTCCCTGGGCAGCACAGTGGCTTATAACCCGTGAATCTAACACTCAGGGTTCTCAGGCATTAGCATCTTGAGTTCAAGGCCAGCCTTAACCACATAGTTTCAGGTCAGCCTGGGCTGCATGGCAAGATCCTGTCACAAACAAATAAGCCAACCAAGATAGATTTGATTCAACTTAGTTAAGATTCATATACTTGAAGGAAGAAATATAATAGATGTGCCCTGACTTGTGAAAATTATCCCTTCTTGGGTGTGCTTTCAGGTACTTTGCTAAAACAAACAAAAAAGCTTTAGAATGACAAAAAAATGTAGTTTCTCCAAATGTGTTGATTAAAGGTTCTAATGCTGTTTTCAATACTTTACAATTTTACAAATAATACATGCTATGGCATAGATTTTACTTTGCAAGTAAAAGAGCTCTTTTATTTGTTTATTGCTAAATCAGATTTGGAACCACACTTCAAAAATTCTCTGGCAGCCAGCTAAAACAAATCAGACATGACCCACAATCCTCTTCCAAACCAAACCAAACCAACCAACCAAACACACCTCCCCAGAAAAGAAAGAAAGAAATCCTCTTTCAAAAGACTCTTTTAGACATTGGTCATGGTACCAAGAAAATTCCCAGGTCAATTATCATCTCTACCCAAATCATCACAAGAAGCCAAGAATTATTGTTCTTTAAGGTTAAGTGGCCAGCAACAGTAGAAACTTCTCTAACTCTGTGATACATTCCCTTTCTGTTTCTCTCTTTTAAGAATAATTCTTTCAACAAACAAACACTACATGTGATTATTATCAAGCCTAAATGTCCATCACTAGACTGCTTGAAAGTTCGGGGAGTGTGTTAGACACTCAGCATCCGCATCAGTACCTGGGTGACATCTGGCTCCATCACTTCCTCCAGCTGCTCCTTTGACTGAATTATCTCAAAGTTAGGGGCGCAAGTTTGCGGCTCCCCCCTTGCAACCAGCTGCCGGAGTTCTGCATTCTCCTGCTGCAGCTCATTGACCTGCTGCTGGAGCTTTGTAGTTTTAGCCCTCTCACTCTCACAGGTCAACAGCAAGCTTTTCACTTGAGTGACCAGCTTCTCAACTCTTGACTTCAATTTCCGCCTTTCTTTCAGGTTTTCCCTTTCCCGCCTCTGAGATTCCTCCTGAAAAGACAGGAACTCTTGTTCCCGGATCTCCTTCTCCCTCTTCAGCAAGTCCAGAGCAGAACTGGTGGCCTTCTCCAGCTCTCCCTTGTGTCGCTGCAGCCTCTGGAGCTCTTCATCTTTCCTGCTTAAGGTCTTCTCTATCTCCAGGCACTGGCTGACCGATCTGTTTTTCTGCTGTATCTCGGTGATGTACCTTTCCTGTAAACGGACGTAATGGACCTTGATCTTTTTAACCTGGAGCTGGAGGGTCTCCTTGTCTTTCTTGGATTCCTGAAGGTGCTTTTTGGTGCTAGCCGAAACCTCTTGCAGATCCTGAAATTTCTTCTTGATATCATTCTTCTCCAGGATCACATTGTATTTGTCATCAATTAACTGCTCAATGTTCTCCTTTAGTTTATTTATGACGTCAACCAATACCTGCTGTTTGCTGACCTTTGTCTGTAGTTCTTTAACCCTGTTTTCTAAGTTCGAGTTCCTACCGTGGAGGTCTTGGATCTGCATTTCCTGTTTTTTATTAGTCTGTTTTAACTTCTGCAAGGCTTCGTTTAAAGCCATGTCCTCTTCCAGAGGCTCTGAGCTTCCCAAGCCTAGCTCCTCAGCAGGCATCATGTAGTGGTCCTGAGATCTGCTCTTGAAGATGCCGGGTGGAGACCAAGGGGAGAGCATGGCCAGGCTGTCTACACCATCTTCTGTGACTTCCTCATGGTTGCTAACAGACATCTCAGAAATCTCCCCAGAATTCAATATTTCTTTTGAAGACACTTCAGGCTGTAAATTACAATAAATAAAATAAATGTGAAAGAATAGACTTCTGAGTATAACTCCCAAACAGCATGGCAGAACACAAGCAGTAGGCATAAGCTAGACATGTGTATCATATTTACTTAAACAAAAAAAATTATAATTGGATTCTCATCATCTTCTGGGATATAAACTTTCTGGCCACATTATAAAGTGCTTTCTTTGATTTCAAAAATCAATTAAACAAATGTAATAATGACCCTATGGACTATAAGGTCTTTTGAATAAAGATCTCTAATAACATCCTGTTCAGACCATTACTTCACCCATGCTGATTCTTATGAACCTTAGAATGGCAGACGTACTTCATGATTGACTTACGCCCACAATTCATGTTTGGTGGGAGTCTGTATGCAACAGAAGACTGCAGAATTATGGTATATTATGGTATATTATGGTATATTATGGTATATTATGGTATATTATGGTATATTATGAAAGGAATATGACATTAAATCTCTTGTAAAAAATATCTGTAGGGGTAGTACTCTTATCAATTTAGAGATGCTGAGCCCCTTCATTTTTATTGGCTTTCCACTGCCCTGGGATAAAGTCAGTCATCTAAGCAAGGTTCCCGAGGTCCCACTAACTGCTCTTGACAGCTCACCTGCCACCCTGTCATCAACGTCTGCCACGCCCCCTGCTCCCTGTGGCACGTGTTTCCTGGACACTGGGCTTCCTTGATGTCCTGGTAGGTATCACAGACCACACAGGTGCAGAGAGTCCGCAGACACTACTTGTCAGTGGGATGTTTACCACTCCACAGTTGCTCGGTGGACCTCTCTCTACAAAAACTGCTTCAAGGAAACCGCCCCAGACTCCCTGCCTGGAGAAGTACCTTCAAGCAGAGGCAACCTTCCCACTCTGTGTAGTTCTAAGATTCAAGTGTACATGAATTTTTCGATTATTTGCTAATATCTACCTCCCTTAGTAGGATGTTATTTCCATAAAGACAAGAACCATGTGTTTTTCTTGCTTGTTTGTTTTTAATGTCATATAACCATTACATATCCTGTCCCAGTACACAATAGATTCTCAAAAGTACCTATTGACTACCGAGAAAATAAATATTAAATGCAATGGGAAAGGAATAAGCAATCCTAAGAAACCCAGATGAATCTTTGAAATGCTGGTTTCCAGAAATCAACATGATTAAGCTAATACTGCCATCTAAATTCCAAATAAATGGGGGGGGGGGACACCTCATAATCACAGAGACAAGTAATACCATTTCTTATGAAACTTGCATTGAAAAGGTGATTATTTACACTGCTGTGGATTAAGGTCTTCTTTGTGGTAGTTGTCTAGAGAATTCATAGACTTTATCTAGTTGATGTTAGGATACCAAACAGTGAAACCTAAGGCGTGTAAATATTTGCTTGTCTGAAGAAGTCCAATACAATAGAAACATCTTTGGCTTGTTTCATCATATAATTTAATAACTACCTCTGTACAATGCCTCTTTCTCAACTTTTCCCTCAAGTACAGCTCTTGAGTCCCAGCTGGTTTAGTGCACCTCAACAAAATAAAAAATATAAAGATAGGTTATACTTAAGGCACCATGTTGATATTGTGCCATAGAAATATTAAGGCGTTCAGGACAGTGTGTCATCGTCCTTAGAGGAAAAAATTGGTACAGCTAATCTCTAAGTATGGCCAGAATTTATTAGGAAACTTTGTATCTGGTTGGTTAAGCTGCCCATGGGAGCAAAGTCCCTTGCACTGATCTGAGAGGAGTTAATGCTATTGGAAAAGTCTCAGAATGCGTGTTTTCAGACAATTCAAACACCCCACATCCTTGAACACCCCACGGGCTTTAAGGACAGCAACAGTCAGTCTTACCTCCTCTGCTTTACAGTTAGCGCGCAGGTCAAGCAGGGCCAGGCAGTTCTCGTTAACAAACATGCTTTCACCACCTCGGAAGACATTTTCTTTACTCTGAAGTCTCTGGGGGTGATGAACGTTGACGGAGAGGTCTACCATGGTGCTTCTCACCAGTGACTTTTCCATGAATGGCTGAGCCTCTTCTCTGTAGTAGTTAGGAGCCATCCCTCTAGGAGACATCCTGACATGCTCGTGGACAAGCTGGTCTTTATTTTCAGAAATGCTAGTTTCTGCTGGACTGTCCTCCTGAAGCAGATCTGGCTTTTCACAGATATCTGCGGTATCGTTGTACGCCTGGCTTTGCAACTGTAGCTTCTCGGAGTAAGAAAAGGCCTCCTTCAGGTCTTGGAATGTCACTTCATCATTAAACGCTTCTATCCAATGAAATTTGCAGATGGGTTCAAATTGTCTCAAGGAAGTAACCCCAGTGTTAGCTGGTTGATTCTGCATGCTCTCTGTGTAATTACCAAGGTTGATATCTTATGAGAAAAAGAAAGAGGATGAGTTACCAGAAACTTATGGGATAGCTGTTACAGTTATATTTAAAATATAAATGTTGATATCTTTTAATAATTACATGTTATTTCAAACAAAACAACTTTTTCTTTTTTAGCATCTCACTAACTCAAGACAGCCTTAAACTCCAAGTGCTAGGATTACAGGTGTGTGCCATGCTTGACTTAGGTCTGATGCCTAGCACCCATGTGACCGTGCACAGATGTCTAGTCCCAGCCCCAGGAGATCTGACACTCTCCTCTGGCCTCAGAGGGCACTACGTCACCTGCTGTACAGAGATACACGCAGACAAAAACACACAAAACAGTAACATCTATTTTTCTTTGAAAAAAGATTTAAAAAAGCATAGGAAAACATAATTACAAGTACAGAAAGGTGTCTAATTTTTAAAAGTTTACAGTGCCAAGGGCAGAAGCAGATAGATTCCCAGAGCTCATTGGCCAGCTGGTCTAGCCAGTCAGTTAATTAGTTTAGTGCAAAACTCTGTCTAAACCAGTTAAGGGGCAGAGCAATAGAGGAAGATACCCAAAGTCAACCTCTGCTATATAAGGTGTGTGTGTGTGCGCGCGCACACACACACACACACACACACACACACACACACACACAGAGACAGACAGACAGACAGACAGAGAGATCTGCCTGCCTCTTCATTCTGAGTACTGGATTGAAGGAATTCGCCACCACGCCTGGCCTTGGCAGGGGGGTTTATCACAGCAGCAGAAAGAGACTGGAACAGGGGGTGTACACCTGCAATCCTTACTTCCGAGGTGGAAACAGGAGGAGGAGGAGGTGTTCAAGGACAGCCCTGCCTACATAGCAAGTTCTAGGCTGGACTGAATTACCTGCGACTCGGTCTCAAGGCTGACAGATGGCTCAGCAGGCACAGGCGCCTAGCACCCAGCCTGACAAGCTGAGGTCAGTGTCTGTGGCCTTCGTGGTGGAAGGAGAGAACCCCCACTTGCCTGCTGCCATGGCACACACGTGTGTATCCGCACTCATATGTACACAGACATTCAAAAACGCATAATTAAAAGACGCGAATAAAATAAAAGTGCCTGGTGACGCACACATCTGTAATCCCAGCACTTGGGAGTTAGTGTTAAGAGGAGAGGAGTTAAAGGCCAGCCTGGGCTACATGTGACCATCTATTAAAGAAACAAAAGGAGAATTCCTTTTTTTTTTTTTTTTTTAATTTTTTATTTTTGTTCTTTCAAGAAAGAGTTTCTTTGTGAGGGCTTGGCTGTCCTGGAACTCACTCTGTAAGCCAGGCTGGCCTCAAACTCACAGACTCCCCTGCCTCTGCCTCCCAAGTGCTGGGATTAAAGCCATGTGCTACCACCTTCTGGGGGCCATTTTCATTCAAACCACCACATGTAGTGTTCTAGTGTTTGAGATGACTTGAGTCATCTTGCGGATTAAAGATACACAGCCTAGGGCTGGAGAGATGGCTCAGAGGTTAAGAGTACCGGCTGTTCTTCCCAAGGTCCTGAGTTCAATTCCCAGCAACCACATGGTGGCTCATTACCATCTAACAGTGAGATCTGGTGCCCTCTTCTGGTGTGTAGGCAAAGATGCAGGCAGAATACTGTATAAATAAGATAATTAAAAAGAGTGAGCTGAATAAGCTTGCTCTTTCAAAAAAGAAAGATACACAACCTAGACCAAATCAGATCCTTAATGGAAATAAAAAGCACTCTTACTTGAGAAAAAGAAAATCCCACCTATTTCATAGGATTGCCTGTCGGTTTACTGTAAAGACATGTATAAAGCACTTATCTCAGCACCTGGGAATTATTGTTGTTATTATAAGACACACAGTTTTCTGTCTACTGCAGCAAAGGGATACTTACCACCTAACAAACTGTCCTGTGTGCTATAAATATCTTCAGAGAGAGTGTGTATAGTTTCATTTTCCCTTTTAACGTCCTCTATTTCATTCTGTATAATAATTTAAAAAGCATTATTAACACTGCAAGAAAACCTCAGCTTCTTCTAACGGAGTATACAGTTTGCTAGTTTTTTAAGGAGAGTTTCATTGTTGTTGTTTCACAGTACATTTTCCCACTTCCTGTAAGTCACTCTTAGGAGAGTCACATTAAATGACAGGTAGCCTGTTATGTAGTATTTCTTTTTTCTTTTTTACTTTACATTTTTTTAAGAGTATAATGTAACTTTCTCCCTTCCCTATCTTCTAAAACATTTCCATATATACTTTTTTATCTCTTTCAAATTCATGGCTTCTTTTTTAATTAATTGTTATTGCATGTATATATTTATATACATACACATTCCTAGATACTCTTAAATAACATCCATTTAGGATGTGTGCTTACACACTTGTATGTATGTTTTCAGAATTGACTATTTGGTAGTGGACAATGGATTGGTGTGCTCTCTCTGAGGGACAGTAAGACAGTATTTTTTTAAAAGTGAGATTATAATATCTCTGATCACAGAGATATATAAGAATGTTCATATCTCTTGCTGCTAATTGGAAGGGGGGGGCTAGAAAATTGGTTTCACTAAATATGACTTTCCTGAAACTTATCATGTTGACCCTAGCCTTTATGTCATGGTCATAGTCCTACCTCGTGCTCTCAAGTGTGGGATTATACATGTGAACAATCATGCCCAGCCTGGGTAATTATTTTTTATCTATTACTATAATTTGGAGAAGCATATAGATACAATGGGGAGTGTGGAGGTCAGAGGACAACTCTGGGAAGATGATTCCCTCTTCCACTTTGTTTTTGAGCAAGGGCCTCTCTTGCTATTTCTATCTGGTTATGTACTCTGGGTTACCCAGTCTGTGAGTTTCTGGGCATCTCGCCTGTCTCCCGCCTCCCTTCTCGCAGTGGGAGTACTGAGATTACATCTGAAAATCTGGCTTTTTCCCTGGGCCTTGGGAAACTGGCCTCAGCTTCCCAGGCTCTAGTAGCCGCACCTTTACCTGCTGAGCCTCCTTGACAGCCTCAGCTCAGGTAATTCTTTAACGTTTATTAAATCTTGTCGAAACAGAACTAGAGTAGGAATTTGCTTCATATTATTGTTATTTTTGTTTTGTTTTGTTTACACTGAAGATAAGAATTCTAGTAATAAGGTAATACCAGATTCCACTAAAGAATTTATAAACACTCATAGCCTTGTTCTCCAGTATTCTTAATGTTATATAAGATAAAAGGGAATATTGAATTAGTATTAGAGATAAGATAGCAAAGTGACTAAGTTTTTTTGAGGAAAAAAAAACACTTGGTTTTATCAAAAATAGTATATCTAGTATAGGGATCTAAATGATGCCTTACTACGTAGAAGCAGGCAACCAGCAACGGAGTGAAAAATCTCTCAAAAAGCCAAATGATATATGGAGTCTTAAAGAAAGTTTCTTACTGCTATCAACCTCTATCCAATAATGCTGTTTCAGAGTTGCCCTTGTACAATAAACCCTGGGCTACAGTTTACAACAGCTTGTTCCCCAACCATTTCTCCTAGTCAGACTTTAAAGTACTAAGAACCAAACAGGACCACTGACGTGCCCTCGGGTTCTATCTCACACAGCCCCTTGGGATCCTGACTCTCACAGAATTTCCCTGATAATTCTGAGCTCTAGTTTCCTCCTGTATTTTTATTCCTTTTAAACTTTCTGTGTATGGGTGTTTTGCCTAGATGTATGTCTGTGTATCACATGAGCGTTGAGTGCCTGTGAAGGCCAGCAGGTGGTCCTGGATTTTCTGAAACTGGTGTTGCAAGCAGTGAGGAGCCACCATGTGGATGCTAGGAATTGACGCCAGGACCTGTAGAAGATCAACCAGCCCTCTTAACAGTGGAGGTATCTCTCCAGTCCCTTTCTTTGAGACGGAGCCCTCTTCTGGCCTCTGTGGGTATTGCATGCATGTGGTACATAGACAAACATTCAGGCATGAGAGCCACACACATAAAGTAAACAATTTTTTAAAATCCTGAAATTTTAAGAGATTATATAAACATTATATTAAAAAAGCCCCTAAGAAGTGAGCTTTCCAGTACACTGAAAAAAACAATCATTTTTTTCCCTTTTCTTTTCCTTTAAAAAAAAGTTGAAGGACTATGAAGATGGTTAGTAACTGGTTAAGAGCACATGCTGCTCTTCCAGAGGACCCAAGTTCAGTTCCTACTACCCACACTGGGCAGCGCACAGCGGCTTATAACTCCAGTTCCAGGGCATCTGCTGCCCTTTTCTGGCCTCCGTGGGGTAGCTATACTGGCAACAGACACATACACATAAACAATAAAATAAATCTTTAAAAGTGTTGAGACAGGGCTTTGCTATGTAGCCCAGATTGACCTTGGATTTAAGATCCTCCTGAGTCCACATGCTGGCTGTTAGGATTACAGCTATGTACCACCACTCCTGGCCAGTGTGACCACTTCTCCATCAGCAAGTCCATGTTTCCAGTCTATAAAACCACATCCATGGAATAATTTATCTACTGTCTTCCATAAAATAATTTAACTTTCCTCCACTCAAAAATGTTTCTAATGCAATTAGAAATTATGCATCATGTGGTAAAATGTTTTAATTTATGGATTAAAAGGATTAATTATCCATATTGATAGTTCTTTTTAATTTATAGATTCTTTCAATTCATAAATAATTTATGGATAATTCTTTTGAAGTTATATTTAGTCATTTTTGTGTGTATGAGTGTGGACATGTGTGTGCTGATGTGACAGTCACAGCTTGCAGGGAGTCAGTTCTCTTCTACTGGCTAGGCCTGGAGACTGAAGTCAGATCATCAGGCTTGGTGGCAAGTGCTTTTGCTTGCTGAGCCATCTCACTCTCCTATTATGGATAATTCCTAAAGTATCTTTTTGGAAGATTTTCTAGAGATAGCCTTTTAAATTGCAGTTTATCTGGGCTGCATGAATTTTTCATTATTTGTCCATTTAAAAAGAAACAAACCAATGTGGTGCAGCTTAACTCATTCCTACTATCTTCCTATACTCTTGCTAGCTGCTGCAAAACTCAGCATCTTTGAGGATCCTGAGACATCATGATCTCTTCTTTCACGAGAAAGGGCACTAGTACTTCTCATGAAGATGTAGGATGGAGGCTGTCAATGTCCCGCCTGATAGCTGCTCCTCCCCAGATAAACACAGTGGAGTAGGAGGCAGGTCCTTGTTTGGGCTCTCAGTCTGTGACTGACTTGCAGCCATGTTACCTAGCTGCATGCCTGGAACTTCATGAACAAAGAGGAACTGTTTTAGCACAGCATCTACAAAACTGTTCCACCTTTTGTACACTCAGGCCAAGAAAACCAACCAGTCCCTGCACGCCCCTTCCTTCTGTGTCCACTGAAGATCTTTTGCTATCCCTCATAAAAAAAAAAAAAAAAAGAAAAAGAAAAAAAAGTTCCTATGAGAGCAGCCGGGGTTATCTCCTTAGACTTAACTAATGCAGAGCGCGCACCTGAGGCAAAGCTGAAGTGATGGAGCTGGCTTCTAAACAGAAGGGCGAGTCTGAGCAGAAGGCATCCTGAGGACCATTGACATCTACTGCTTCCAACTCTGACATACTTTCTAAAATTTCATGGAAGTATCCACTTCAAAACATGCAGGATCTGAAGATGATGACAAAAACATTTCCTTTTTGTTTTGCGCTGCCAGGGACGATGACAGAAACTTTTGAGAGTCTTTAGTTCTAACTGCTGAGTGACGGAAGGCCTCTTTAAAACAAGCAAACAGAAGAGAAAGACACATTTTTTTAGAGTCAGCCTGTATGCGCAAAGACCTCCCTTACCCCTTTTCACAATATGAAAATCTGCAGAGGGGGCTGGAGAGATGGCCCCGTGGATAAGAACCCCACTCTTTCAGAGGACCGGCATTCAATTGCCGGCAGCCACACAGTAGTTCACAACTGTTTGGAACTCCAGTCCTGGAGGATCCCACACCTCTTCTGGTCTCCTTGGGCACTGTACACCCGTGGTACACAGACAGACACGCAGGCACACATGTAAAATAAGAATTTTTAAAAAGCAGTGAAGTTTATTTACTACCTTAGATTTTTTAGCTAGCATTTTTAAAATATAATTTTACTTTTATTTTATCTGCATTGGTGTTTTGCCTGCATGTATGTCTGTGGGTGTCAGATCTTGGAGTTATAGAGAGTTATGAGCTGTCATGTGGGTGCTGGGAATTGAACAGGGGTCCATCGAGAAGAGCAATCAGTGCTCTTAACCACTGAGCCATCTCTCCAGTCCCCACTTTAGATTTTTAAATGCCATTTTCTAACTTGGTATCACAGTAAATAGTGATTTGGCCAAAATCAAGCCAATGTGTGTAGCTTCTCTCCAATAATGTCCTACAAAACTTGAGCCCTACAAAGTAAAGAAGTCTGTTATTTCCAAAACACTATCAAAAACTTTTAGTTTTCACAAAGTACTGCATTTCTGTTTGATGTTATTTCAATATACTAAGTCAAATCTAATACTGAACAGTTTTTCCTACACTATACCTGTTGGCTTGAAATTCATTTTGGTTTGTTTATTTTGTTTTGTTTTTAAGAGAGGGTCTTGCTATGCAGCCTGGGCTGCCTTAAGTTTGTGGCAATCCTCCTGCCTCAGCTTTCTGACTACTGGGATTATGAGCTGCCACCATGACATTTAGCCTGTTTCTGCTCTTGTTTTGGTCCACTTTCACCACATTGGGCAAGAGTCTGAAAAACTGAGGCATCTTAGAAGTACTACATCATCACCTTCAGCTCTGGTCATCCAGTCACGCCCATTTTTCTTTTATAAGCATCTGTCCACAATCCATGCTTTCATTCTCTCTCCTGTCTTCACTGATCTGCATTCTTAAGCACATCCATCAGGAGACAGGATGAGTAGGTCCAATCACAAAGTCCAAATTCTTCTGTGTCTGTGGAGGTATACCCCCTCACCCACATTCACCCAATTCACACATTCACCTGTGTGGGCAGATCAGGCTCATTTGTCTACAAAAGCATGTTTTCCACCTTTCCAGCCATTTGCCTGAGCCTGCGCTTCTCCGAGAGTGTCCCCTAGTTCACCTTCTGTTGCTATGATAAAAAACCATAACCAAAAATAACTTGGAAGGGCTTATGGCTAATGCTTCTGATTTACAGCCCATCACCGAGGGATCTTCAGGTAGGCCAGGGAGGAACTCTGCTTATTGGCTTGCTCAGCTACTTTACTTATTTATAATTTATTTATTATTTACTTATACAGTATTCTGTTTGCATGTGTGCCAGAAGAGGGCACCAGATCTCATTATGGATGGTTGGGAGCCACCATGTGGTTGCTGGGAATTGAACTCAGGACCTTTGGAAGAACAGCCAGTGTTCTTAACCTCTGAGCTCTCTCTCCAGCCCTATTTATTGTTTTACAGCCTGGAGGTGACACATACCACAGTGGCTGCCCAGGCCCACCAGCCCAGCGATGGCACAGACCAGTGGACTGCACCCTCCAGCATCAGTAATGAATGCCCCACAGAAATGCCCACAGATCACTCTGAGGGAGGCAACTCCCCAGCTGAGGTTTCCTTCCCCCAGATGACTCAAGCTAACAAAAAGCAGTGCAACATCGTGTAGTTTAGTTTCTACGGTGTTACATTAGCCTTTGCATAGTTCTTTCACAACTCATTTTTTTTTTTTTTTTTTTTTTTACTGTTTAGTCTTATACTACTCCAAGGCTGTTACTAAATCTTCCATATACACATTATATTTGTCTGGCAAGGAGTCTATTTATAGTTTTCAGTACTTCTGACTGCAAACAGGCCGGTGCTATTCTAGGTCAGCCCTCTACTTTCTCTGGCCCCACCAGCTTTCCTATTTATTTTTAATTATGTGATGTATTTGTCTTTCTCTGAGGGTATATGCTTGTGATTCAAGGTGTCCTCGGAGATCCCCTAGATCTGGAGTCCTAGGTAGGGGTGATCCACCTGACCTGGGTGCTGGGAACCAAACTGTCGCATGTACTTTTCCAGCTGAACCCATCTCTCTAGCCCTTGGTTTTCATATAGTCTCTTTTTCTATCAAGTGGAGTAGATTAGACCAGGACTTTGTAAACTCTTTCCACTCACTCTGTAGAACTTACATGTATACAAAGTAGGCATACAAATGAAACACTGATAACAAATCATATAGAAATTTATTTTAAAACAATTCTTTGGTCTACGCATAATTTTACCACTTGTTAAATTAGCAAATTTACAAATCAGCTGTATTTGTCTATCTGATATGATACCATCCAGAGATATACTATGTTAACATTTATATGCAGAGAAATTACATCAGGAAATTATTGTCTGTTTTCTGCAATGAAACGATTATTTCTGTAAGACCAGAAAACTGCACGTACAGTAAAAATACTGCGGTCCACAACATGTAAATCTCAAATCTGAACAGAGGTATTTCCGGCAGTTTGTTGCTGTGGCTTGGTACTCAGCAACACAGTGCAAGTTGTGTGTGATGTTATCATGGGTGGACGCTGCCAGACAACTGTCAGATGCATTACACATTTTACCAGGAGTCAAGTTTTGGGTACGGATAATTATTATGACCGCCTTCCCCCTAACTACCCCATTTTAAGGCTTTGATTCTGAGTTAAGAAACTCTGGTCTAGCCAGGCGGGTGGCCTTTAATCCCAGCACTCAGGAGGCAAAGGCAGGCAGATTTCTGTGAATTCGAGGCCGGTCTGGTCTACAAATTGAGTCTAGGACAGCCAGAGTTCTAGTACAGGGCTCTACTACCACCCTGTCTTGAAAAAAACCAAAAAGAAAGAAAGAAAAGAGAAAAAGAAACAAACTCTGGCCTACTGCTAAATATTGACTGAAAAATACCTTGCATTTTAGTGACTCATTATCAGATTGTCTCAGTCTATAGTTAGTAACTATCTGCCTGGATGACTTTGTTTAATTACTGAAATACTGAAGTTTTCAAATTGATGCCATCATTTGGTAAAATATAAAAAAATTGGTAGGTCAAGGAGGCTGTGTAGGACCCATGAAAGACTTAACCTTATGTTCATCTTTCCCACCTTGCAACCTGTGGAATGATGACAGGGATGTGAAAATTCTTAAATCGTTTTTCCAAATGCAAAACAAAACAAAACAAAACAACCCCCCCCCCAACCCAACAACAACAAAAACCAAACAAAAACGTTCTTCTGTTCCATGGACTCGTGACCTGCAATTCCACTTTAAAAACTTTTGCGTTGAGTATATAACACGCCATGTGTGTACTGGATCCTTCTAAAGTGGAGTCACAGTCATGAGTGGTCCAGCTGGACGCAGGGAACTGAACTCCCATGTGCTTAACCAATGAGCCACCTGCTCCAACTGCTGTTTTTTAAGGTCTGTTCATTCCTCCCATGGTTCTGTATATGCTGCCATAGTACTTTAAAAAACAAAACAAACAAGACTTCGTTTCCACCCGTCACTTCAGTCTCAAGCAAACTTAAGTTTTTTTCAGTTTTGTTTTCTTTCTCTAAGGCAGGGTTTTTGCCTGTCCTGGAACTCGCTCTGTAGATGAGACTGGCCTCAAACTCACAAAGATTCCCCTGCCTCTGCCTTCCAAGTGTTGGGATTAAAAGGTGTGCTCCACCACCGCCCGCTTTACGTTAGATTTTAAAACATTTACTCAAATCTTCCGTTAGCCATACGATCTAAAGCCGTTGTTTTGTTTTGTTCGAAACAGGGTTTCTCTACGTAGCCCTAGCTGTCCCCGAACTCTGCAGAACAGGTTGGTTTCGAACTCACAAAGAATCGCCTGCCTGTGTCTCCCAAATGCTGGGATGAAAGGTGTTCGCCTCCACCACCGGCTTGAGCTAAAGCCGTTTAAAGGTAGGTAAGAAGGGCCTGCGAGATGGGTGAACAGGGAAAACGTTCAGGATTCTGTTCCGGAGTCCCGAGTTCGGTTTCGGAGCCCATGGTGGAAGGAGGGAAGACTTTCAAGGTACCCTCTGGACCTCACACGTGCGCTTGCGTACACACGCGCGCGGGAGCGATAATACATAACATTTAAACATTAAAAAAAAAAAAAAAAAAGGCAGCGAGAGATGTCACGGAAGTTCCTGCCAAACGCAAAAATCTGACCTCAGCGTTTCAGTGGAAAACCACCCACCCACTCGTCTCATCTGCATCTCAAAACAACGCACCAACGTTTCTAGGGAGCAAAAGTGTGCTCACTTCCATGATCCATAGGGCTTCTGTGACCCAGGCTAAGGAATCCGGGCTTCCCCCCGGCACACCGCCTCCGCGGGAGGGACAACTCCTTCCAACCGTCCCCACCGAGGGGCCGTATCCAACTGGCTGTGTCGCGGGGCGCTCGAACGTCCCAGTGTGACGTCCGCAGGCCAGCACCGAACGCCACACACGAACTACTCCACAAATAACGCAACGTTCCCACGGCACAGCGCGGATTGGCCTTTCCCGGCCACCGTAACGCGCATGCTCCCTAGGGCACTTCGGCGTAAGGGCGGAACTACTAGAGGCGTACTTCCGCCATCGAACTTCCGGTCTCTCGGTAGCTGTGTCTGTGGTAGTGTAGCCTGAAAGCCCGTGGCGGCTGGTCGTTGCTTTGGGCCTGGAGGTTGCCGAGCGATTTGTGAGGTGGGAGTCGCGGAGACGCGGTTGGATCCGCTAGGTGAAAAGCCGTCTCTTCTGCTTGCGGCCCGAGAGGTGCAGGGCTCGACCCAGTCTTCATGGACTGCCGTCGGGATAGGATGACTGCGGTGGTCCCTGGCCAGTTTGACGACGCGGATGCCTCTGACAGGTAGGCGGCCGGAGACTGCCCAGGGACTGCTCAGAGTCCTCCAGTTCCGCATTCCTCTCGGGGTGCTGAGACCTGACTCTCTGGACGTCTATTGGGGTCTGTCCTCATGGCTGAGCAGTTCGCAAAAGCTACTAGTCAAGGGAGTCGGTTCCGAGAATGACTAGCAGAGAAGCAGATCTGAGGATAATTGAGAAATGTAGGTTTTTTTTTTTTTTTGTAAACGCACACACCCAACAAAATTTTGACCTCCGCTGGAGTTAGTGATGAACAAGACAAATCAAGTCTCTACTGTCTATTTGGAAAAGGAGGGCAGACCAGGAGGCCAGCGTCTAGAGTGCAGTGGAGAGAATTGAGGCAGAAAGGAAGACCAGCCAGGTAGAGCCTTATAAGGGCTGTGAGGAGTTAAGATACTGTTCAGGTGTTAAAAGGCCAGAGGAAGGCTTTTTAGCAGCGACAGGGAGTCATTTGATGTATGAACTAAAGGAACTGGTCAGTTACGTAGAAGATGCCTTTGGAGAATAAGGGTGGAACAGAGAACTAATTAAAAAAAAAAATCAGGTTCAAACATGATAGCTCCTAGAGCTAAGACCATAGAACGATTTTGAGGTAGCAGTGTTGTGATTAAATTAGATGTAAGGGCTGATGAAAACAGTAATGGAAAAGTTCCCATTAAAAAGAAAAAAGAGTCATTTTGAAACAACAGAGTTTTGTGTACTTTATGTCACGTAGATTTTACTCATCAATTATGAGTAGATTAGACACCCTGTGTGTCAAATCTAGTGTTAGGGAAATGTTGGTGACTACCGTCTTGATTGACACAAGAGTTGCCTTCTGCTAGGGGGAATTGATATTAATAAAGAGGCAAGTTATTTGTATTAAAATGAAATGCTGACTAGTACAAAGGAAAAATGAGTAAGCAGTTCCATATATAGTAAGCAGAGGATGGGTAGGGACTAGCAAAAGAAATTAGATTTCTGGTTACAGATCATCTCCCAGAAATCCTGCAAACCTGCTAGTCAGTGTGTAATGGTAATGACAGTGTATTATGTATCCACTGTCCCCAATACACACAGGATATTGTGAGACTACACCAGTGGTCCGCTGATGGATTTGATCTTGCCACTGAACCAAAGAGACTTGGCACTCTCCAGTAACATTTTTATATGTCACACCTGGGTTGGGGGTGGGGCATACTAGTGGCCTGTGGTGGTTTGGTAGAGGCTGGTGGTGCTTCGTGTTCGAGACATTCTCACAGGGCTGACTAGTTGGGACTAAGGACACCAGGATCGTTCGAATATTTTGAATAGTTATAACTTTTAAATGCTATTCTAGATTATTGGACTGGTAAGTAAAAGACAGAAAGAAATTTGTTATCAGTTCCAATGCATTAACTAAAAATAGGGGCCAGGTGTGGGGGCACCCTTTAATCCCAGCACTATGGAAGCAAAGGCAGCTGATTTCTATTTCCAGGCCAGCCAGAGCCACACAGTGAGACTCTGTCTCAAAAACAAAACAACAACGGAAGGGTGTGGGTGGGAGGGAAGTGCTAGGGATTTAGTTCTGTGGTAGAGTGTTTGCCCAGAAAGGGCAAAGCTCTGGTTCATTTTTCAGAAAACAAACAAACCAACCAACCAGCTCTTTATGGTCAAGTGAAGTGACACACGTCTTTAATCTGAGCACCTGTGAGGCAAGAGGCAGGTGGATCTCTGGATTCAGTCTCAGCCTGGTCTACGAAGCAGGTTCCGGGCCATCCGTGGCTACGTACTGAGGCCCCATCTTAAAAAAAAGAAAAAAAAAAAAAGTCCTTGTCAGGGGCTCATGCTAATCTTGGTGTTGGTGTTGTTCCTGTTGTATTGTGTGCTGCAGAATCAGGCATTATATCTTTTTAAGTAGCATGTATAATTAGTTGTTTAATATGGTTATTGGCCTGTTCTTTGCATGAGGTCAAAGCTGGCAATACCTGTATTGAATTTGGTGGAAAATGTGTTTGGTTTAGAAGGCACATGTTTTAAAAAAAATTGAACTTGGCAAATGTGTGAAAAAAAATTACATAAACATCCAGTGTTTTAGCTTCTTGAAAAACTAGCAAGATCCAGTAACAAGGTCTGCATTCTTGTGGAAACCGCCCTCCCCCCCCCCCATTGGTTGCACTTTCTTTACATTGGACCTCTTCTCTTCATATATCCCCTCTTCTGTTATCCTATACTTGGCCTACTTCACTGTGTAGTGTTTGGCCTCTCTGCATTACTGTTTCTTCATCATAGTATTACAGTTAGTTCAAGGAAAGGCAGATTTTGTCATACACATCTCCTTAAAGTAGGTTTATGAATGATTTATCTAGAGTCTGGTCTTGTGCACTGATCTGAACCAGTTCATTTACCAAAGAGAATAATGTAAATTCTAGCTTGATTTAAGGCAAAAGCAAAATCAACACTGATGAGGGTGTGGAGAATAAAGGATTGCCACAGTCCTGGAAGACAGGAGAACTTGATATTAAGAAGATGGAGCTGGGAGTTGTGGTACATGCCTTTAATCCCAGCACTCAGGGAGGCAGGGGCAGGAGGATCTCTGTGAGTTTGAGGCCAGCCTCATCTACAAAGTGAGTCCAGGACAGCCAAGGCTACACGGAGAAACCCTGTCTTGGGGGAAAAAAAAACCCAAAAAAATAAAACAAAACAAAAACAAGAAAAAGATGGAACAGATTGGGAAATGCAAGGGAATCTTTAGGTATATATGTATGTGTGTTTTGTTCTTTAGAGGATATGTAAACATGCCAGAACATTCTTTTTTTTTTTCTAGTGAAAACATAGAAGTGAAGTCAGTCCAAGCAAAAGATGGCATTCTACTTAAAAACCTTCAGAATGATATGACAGAGATGAAGGGTGAAGATGAGAGTGAGGAGGAAGACAACTATGATTATGACAGTGATTGGTACTTGGATGATGGGACTGGAAAACTCACCAAGAGTTGTACCTGGAATGGAGCCAGTAACTCTCATGTATGTAAGGAGTCTTATAAATCTGTGTTATTTGTTTATAGTTTGTGTGTCTGAGTGAATGTAAGTGTATGCGTTTGTGTGTGTACATGTCTATGCATGTTGGGAAGGCAGAAGTGGACATCAGTCCTTTGGAGCTGGAGTTACAGATGTTTTGGGGATCCCCAGCTTTTTATCTGGGTGCTGGGACCAATTCCAGTCCTCATACCTGCTGAGCTATCTCTACCCTCTCTACGGTATCTTTTGGGACATCTCACTGAACCCAGAGTTGATCATTGAGCCAGCCACTGGCCAGTGACTTCCAGAGACCCTCCTCTCTCAGCCAGCTGCTGGCCAGTGACTTCAGAGACCCTCTTCTCTCAGCCACTGCAGTGCTGGGATCATGAATGTATACCAGTGAGTCTGTGTTTTCATGCAGGTGCTGAGGACTGAACTCAGATCCTCAGGCTTGAATGACAGTAATTTAAGGACGGAGACATCTTTCCAGATCCATCTATTTTTTAAAAAAAAGACTTGTGGTACTATAGGTTATAGTGTCTTGTAGCCCCAGCTTTTGTTGATTTTTTTTTCTTATGGCTTTCATATTTCTCATAATTTCCTATATTTGGATTCTTTCAATAATCAGTAAATATGAAGCATTACTGAAGTGTCAGCTGGGCAGTGGCACATGCTTTTAATTCCAGCACTCAGGAGGTAGAGGCAGGTGGATCTTTTGAGAGTTCAAGGCTAGCCTGGTCTACAGAATGAGACCAGTTCCGGTACAGCCAAGGCTACACAGAGAAATCCTGTCTCAAAAACCCAAAACTAACCAAACAAAAAAATCCTGAAGCGTTATAGGATGTATGAACTTAAAAATGCAAAGGAAAAGCCATGAGTAAGCAGTTAACTATAGACCATTTAAGGAGCAGAAAAGGGGCTGGGAATGTAGCCCAGGAGTAAAGCATTTGGTTAGAGGACAAAAGATTCTGGGGTTTATCCCTAGCTCCCCAGAACAGCGTCGGGGGGGGGGGGGGGGAAGAAATAAAAAAACAAAACCAAAAACCCAAACAAACAAACAAACAAGCATACAAGGTTGAAACTCACTGCTAACTACAAAAGTGTAGCTGGGCTTGTATACAGTTCTTTAGCCCCAGCTACTTGTGGAGAAGAGGCGAAAAGATCACAAGCTTAAAGCCAGCCTGGAATACAAAGTAAGTTTTGGTAAATCCTTCACTGAGTCATTGGTAAGACTGGGTAATTTCAGCCTGGATTGTGATATGATGTTTGTGTACCTAATGTTAGCTGTTACTCTTGGTTGCTGGTGATCGTTGTTATGCTGGGGATGCAGTGCATTGTTGGAGCACTTGCCTACCATGCATTCCAGCACTACAAAAGTCTAATCAGCCAGACAAACAAGTATGTGATAGGAAACAGAAGTTGATACTTAATATTGTGGTGCCAGGAATCAAACCCAGGGCCTTGTGTGTAGTAGACAAGTACTGTCCTAATCCTAATCCCAAGGCCAAAAGTTATTTTAAAAGCTGAATTAAAGGGGCCTAAGAGATGGCTCAGTGGTTTAGAGCACTTGTTGCTCTTTAAGTTCTTTATTTTTTTTTCAAAGATTTTATTTATTGTATGCACATTAGTACTCTAAGAGGGCAGTAGAAGGTATAGATGGTTGTGAGCCACCATGTGGTTGCTGGGAATTGAACTCGGGACATCTGGAAGGGCAGCCAGTGCTTTTAACCACTGAGCCATCTCTCCAGACTCTGCTCTTGAAGTTTTTTACAAATAAGACAATGGAGGCTCAGAGTTTCATGATGAGATACAATAAGACTGAATCAGCAATTCAGTTGAGAGCCTTTTTTTTTTAATTTTTTAAATCTTTTTTTTTTCCTCCTGAGACAGGGTTTCTTCCCTTGTAACCTTGGCTGAACTGGAACTCTGTAGATCAGGCTGGCCTTAACTCAAAAAGATCCACCTGCCTCTGGTAGGATTTTAATATCAGGTAGTGGCATGCTCCACTACCACCTGACTGAGAGCCTTTTTTTTTTTTTTTTAAACATCTATGATACATTTTCTGAGTTTTGGATATTGTTTCTGCTTCCTTCGGTGTTACTTAAGGTCATACAGAGCATCAGTGTAATTGCTGAACCTCATACTTACCCTTATCTGTTTCATTTCTTGAGGTGTCAGGATTAATGTCAGCCTTAGCTTTTTGCTAAACACTTTGAAGGTAAATGAATATTCTCAAGTATCACATTAACAAACCAATTGAAATTTAAAAAATCTAAATTATTATTCATAATAACAAAAATACATTGAAGAGAAGTAAATAACATGTGGCCTGTGTTGTGGTCAGTAACCTTACTTAGCCTTTTCTTTGAAATGCTTTTTTAAAATTTTTATTTACAGATATACATATATATTTATATACATATATTTATATGCTTGTTCACACATACATACATACATACATACATACATACATATATATATATATATATATATATATATATATATATATATATATATGGATGTTTTGCCTGCATATGTATCTGTACACCATGTGTATACAGTTCATGAAATGCCCCAGAAGATCAAAAGGTTTTGAATCCCAAAGGACTGGAGTTATAGATGGTTGTAAGTTGCCATGTGGGTGCTGAGAATCAAATCCAGTTCTTCTGGAAGAGCAGACAGTTTCTTCACTGCTGAGCCATCTCTCCAGCCATGAAACCCATTTATTTTATTATTTTGTTTTTTTGGAAAGTTTCTTTGTGTTTAGCCCCAGCTGTCCTAGAACTCACTCTGTAGACCAGGCTGGTCCCTCTCTTTTTTTTTTTTTTTAGTTTTTATTTTATATGCATTGGTGTTTTGCCTGCATGTATGTCTGTGTGAGGGTGTCAGATCTTGGAGTTACTGACAGTTGTAAGCTGCCATGTGGGACTTAAGAATTGAACCCAGGTCCTCTGGAAGAGCAGTCAATGCTCTTAACTGCTGAGCCATCTCTCAGCCACAGGCTGGTCTCATTGAACGTACAGAGATCTGCCTGCTTCTACTTCCCAAACCCCGGGATTAAAGGCATGCGTCAGCACACCCACACACTTTTTAAAACCTTTTTTTAAAAAAGTCTTAGGAAATTTGTTTTGTTTTGTTTTTTTTTTAATATAAAGCTCCCATGTATAATGGTGCTTTAATAACCAACTGAACTGGGGCAGGGGGGTGGTTCAGCAGGTAAATGCTCCTGGTGTCAAGCCTGATGACCTGAGTTCAGTTCCTGAGACCATTGGGGTGCCAGGAGAAAATCAGCTCCTCTGACCTCCATCTGTGTTGTGCCCCTTCCCCCAAATATAATAAAAAAACAACTAGGGAGGAAAAAGAACGTAATTATGAACCTTCAGCCTGAATTGACAATTAATCCTATCTTAAACTAATTTCTTATAGGCAAATCGACAGACATCTAACTACAATTCAGCCAAAATGTCCACTCCAATTGACAAGTCTTTGCGAAAATTTGAAAATAAAATCAATCTAAGTAAGTTTTTAAAAAATGTGTTGCTAACTGGGCTGTGAAGAGATTCTTCCAAATGCTGAAGTGTTAGGCACTTTTTTGGCTGAGGAAGTGAATGTATTGATTCAGTGATAGAGCTAAATGAAGAAAATAACTTTTAGCAACTTAACAGTTTAATTCACACTTTCTCAGTTGTTTTTTTAATTTGTTGTGGGATTATGAAGTTTCAAATACTCATTCTATTTCTTATCTGTTCTGCATTGCATTTTGTATTAGAACAGCCTAAAAATGCTATTTTGTTTGGTTAGAGATTTTATGATGGTGTTAATTGTTTAGTGAAAGCCAGCCCTAGTTTGAACTATACTGCTTTAAAAATGCAAGACCACCATGTTATGCTTGCACCAATCTTTACTCTATAAACCTACCCAGTGTCTCTCATGTACCCTGTCGAGTAATATCAAATTAATGTATATAAGTATTTCGTAGTCGTCATGATCTAACTCTAATAACTTGAAAAGGAACTGAGGTTTGCAGAATTAAACTTTGAATTCAGACAGTTGTGTTATCTGTATTGAACAAAATATTAAGTATCAGAGATTTAATATGTAGAGCCAATGTTTTGAGTATTGTCTATATCTAGAATTTTAAAATACTGGCTCAAAAATGACACTACAGTGCTGAAAATACACACTATGAGGAAAATAGGTTAATTTATTGCTTACCTCGTAAGTAAAATATATTCTAATTCTATTAAGAAAATAATTTGTATTAAATTTAGAAAATTAAAAAAAGAAAGCATACAAGGGGAAAGTAGAGAGGGAAGTATTCTGTTCAGAGATATTAATGTATTTTTGTCTTTTGTGTGTTTACATTGTCTGTTTTTGTATTTTTAGATAAACTGAACGTTACTGATTCTGTCATAAATAAAGTCACCGTAAAATGTAGACAAAAAGAAGCGGAATCGTAAGTAATGTTTTCATTATAAAGTATGGTGGTGGAGACTGATTTCTTCTTTTGTGTGTTTTTGGTTTTGAGACAGGGTTTCTCTGTATAATAAGTCCTGGCTGTCCTGGACTTGCTTTGTAGACCAGGCTGGCCTCGAACTCATAGAGATCCACCTGCCTCTGCCTCTGCTGGCATTAAAGGCGTGAGCCACCCTACCTGGCGGAGACTAATTTCTTGACTGGGTAGCATGATTGTTCTGAAAAGGATGTTTTTTGTTTCCCTTTGTTTACTAGTTTAGCATGTGCTTTGCCTTTGTAAGTCAAAATCATAAATAGTCAAGTAGTAAAAGCACAGTCTTGTGAGGTTCATAAATGTGTTTTCATTAGGATTGTGTTTGTAGATTCCAGTTTAGACTAGGATCTGGCTTACTTCTCTTCATAATAGCTGGGATGACCCTTCCGGTATAGAAGATAGCATTTATCCAGCCAGCAGGGTTAGAACTGAGCGTGAAAGTCCATTTCTCTCTGGTTCGTTGCAGTGTGGTGGTCACTGCATTCTGAGAGGGGTTGGGGTCACCTGGTATTCTGCTGACCTGTGTGTCTGACTCCCTGTATTTGAACTGTGGCAGTTTAGGTTAGTGTATTGGATTGCGTTATCTAGCATACAAGCTGATGTTAGTTAAAGGACAGTACAAACACTCAGGATTTCCCTTGTCACTCTACTCCAATGCCTCAGGGATGTAGAAGGACCACCACTTAAACACTCAGTCTCATCTCCCCTTTCTTTCACCTCTCCCTCTTTTCATCTCCCTTCTCTCTCCCTCTCTCCCTTTTCTCTGTGTGCATGTATGAAATATGTTATATGTTACATACATAAAATTATATGTGTGTATTTATATATATATGTATTTGTATGTGTTTGTATACCTCCATAGCAGGCACATCCAACCTGTGGGCTCATGTGAGTACATGTGTTTGAGGATAGTTATGAATATGACCCAACAGAAAATTGTAAACTTACTTAAAGCATGAGATTTGTTGTTTTCATTGTTTCTTGATTACACAGCTGTCAAGTGTGAGCTTTGTAGATGCCAGGGGTCCTGGGAGATGGTGGTGAGGGGGTAGTGAAAGTGCTTGTCATGCAGACTTACAATCACAGTTTGACCCCTGACGGTGGAAGGAGAGAACTGGCTCCCAAAACTTGTCTTCTAACCTCCATGTGCTGGTGGCATGCACTCGCCTACACTTCATTCACACGGAAGAATAATGCATGAAAAAGATTAAAAACTTCACAATGAAAAGAAACAAAGGATTGGACATGCTAAAGAGAAGTGACTTGAATGTGCAGTTTTTCACTGAGCACAGAGTCTTTATCAAACTGTGATCTCTTAAGAAAAGCTCCGTAAGAATTGTCGCAGAATCTTCTTATTCTGCCTTCTCCCTCAGATTTGAATATGTCTCTTACACTTCTTTGTTCCCTTAGGTATCGCATTAAAGATAAGGCTGACCGAGCAACCGTAGAACAGGTACGCTTTAAGTGTGCTGCACAGTCTTGTTTGAAATTAGCATTCCTTTTCTCTTTAAATTCTGCCTTGTTTTTAGCATCCTTCCTTGGTGTCAACTCATCTAAAATTACTCCTGAGTAAACACCGTTTCAAGTTAGTTGATTGGCATTTTGCTGTATAATATGATAACTAGTAGGTATGGTGAAGCCATAGCCTCTCATAGCAGCTACTATAACCCTCGAAGCTACTTGCGGTGCTCCCTCCTTCTCAGAGCTCCGAGGCAGAGACTGTCACACCAGAATTTTTCTTAAGCAGGGTCTGTAGGAATTTTATTCTCTTTCCCACCAAATAAGTTGAATATCTGCCATAAAACAGGTTGAGTAGCTGCTGTGTATCTTGGGCATGCATAGAGGGGAAAAGGGAAAGAAGAGTAATATCTTCAAATTTCTAACTAGAGTTGTCTTTCTTTAGAAATTAGACGTGCTTTATTCTTTGGATGGGGCAGAGCTGTAGTCCCTAATTACTTATGGGCAGCAGAATATGATTGACGTTTACTTGTGTGTGTAAAGACACACACACACACACACACACACACACACACACACACACACACCCCACATTCTGTAGCCCTAGCTGATCTGGAACTTGCTGTGTAGATCAGGCTGGTCTCAAACTCACAGAGATATACCTGCCTCTCGCCTCCTGAGTGCTGGGATTAAAAGTGTATGCCACCAGATCCAGATTTTTATAGAGTGAAGAAAATGATAAAGAAGGTTTAGGTTATTATTATTATTCCTGCCTATTTGGGCTGTCCTCCTGTATGTATGCTTATAATCCCACATACTGAAATAGTAACCTCTTGACCTATAAAGCTCTTTGACGTAAGGCTTAAGGGAGTAGAAGCTAATCTGCAGTCTAGTTTGTGCAGTTGGAGACTCACTGGACATGCAAGTGCTTATTTATGATGTTAACGTATCGTATTGTACTGGTTGGCTTTTTGTCCACTTGCTACAAACTAGTGACCTGGAGAAAGGGAGCCTCCAGAGAGGAACTGCTTCCATCAGATTGACTTTGTAGGCATGTCTGTGCACCAGCCCACTGTGAGTGGTGCTGCCCCTGAACGAACTGGGTAGTCCTGGGTTGTACAAGAAAGCAAGTCAGTCAGCATCTCTCAGCCATGGTTTTTGCCTCAGTTCCTCCGTCGAGCTTCTGTCCTGCTTTCACTCGGCCGTGTACTGTTTTCTTGAAGAGGGGGATGAGATGAACCTTCTTCTCTCCACGTTGTTTTCTCATGGTGTCTATCACAGCAACAGAGAGCAACTAAAATGTGTGTGTGCACGAAGGCGAAGGCAGTGCCTGTGTAATGGGGCCTGTGTGGAGGTCATAGGACAACTTTGTGGGCTTCCTTCTGTCCAGAAGCCTTTACGTGGGTGGGTGTTGGGGCAAGCAGACTTGGGTCACAAGGTCTGTGTAGCAAGTACCTTCACTCACTGAGCCATCGTGATAACTCTGGATGTGCATTTTTATTGTCCTGTAGTTTGTTTTGTCTCATTTGTTTTCATGATTCTACTTTTAAAAAAGACATTTCTTTTTAGGTTTTGGATCCCAGAACAAAGATGATTTTATTCAAGATGTTGCATAAAGAAGACATATCAGAGATACATGGCTGCATTAGCACCGGAAAAGAAGTGAGCTGTTGTTGGGATAGCAGTGTTTTCATGTTTGTTTCCTTATTTCAAATACCAAGGAGCACTAAGGCACTTTGTAATGAAAGTGCCTTAAAAAAAGAAAAGAAAAGAAAAGAAAAGAAAGCTGGGACTGAAGAGGTGGCTCAGTGGTTAGGAGCACTGGCTGCTCTTCCAGAGATCTTGAGTTCAATTTCCAGCACCCACATGGTGACTTACAACTATCTATACTGGGATCTGATACCCTCTTCTGGCATGCAGGTGTACGTGTACATAGAGCACTCATATACATAAAACAAATAGCATCTTTACAGAGAAAAGAAAAGAAAGTTGAGCATTGTCACACATACCTTTAATCACATTACTCAGGAGGCAGAGACAGGTAGATCCTTGTGAGGTCCAGGCTAGCATGGTCTACAGAGCAAATTTCAGGCCAATTAGAGCTACATAGAAAAACCCTGTCTCAGAAAGAAAGCAAGCCAGCTATGGAGGCACATGCTTTTAATCTCAGCACTTGGGAGGCAGAGACAGGTGGATCTCTGAGGCCAGCCTGGTCAGGTCTACAGAGTTCTAGGACTACACAGGGAAACTCTGTCTCAAAAAAATTTTTTTGTATAAAGAAAGAAAAAAAATTTATGTGTATAACTTACCTTGATTGCTCTATTGTATCACTGAGTCTGTGTGCTGAACACTGAGCTTAGATTTTCAAATCACTGTGGTCCTGAGTTCCAATTTAAAATTACTATTTACGAATGAGGGCTATTGATTTTATTTCTATTAGCCAGTCTTTCTTGTTTTTTTATTTCTAAGTGTAGAAAAAAGTAAGTGTGACTTTTTCTTTTTTCAAGACAGGGTTTCTCTGTGTAGCCCTGGCTATCCTGGAACTCACTTTGTAGACCAGGCTGGCTGCTAACTCAGAGATTTGCTTGCCTATACCTCCCAAATGCTGGAATTAAAGGCTAAATGTAACCTTAAAAAAAAAAGAATATATATATATATATATATGTATGTATATGTATATAGTTACTCTTCTCTTGCTGTGATAAAATACCTAGCCAAGAGCAGCTTACGGAATAAAGTTTATTTTAGTTTAAGGTTCCAGAGGAATAGTGTTCATAGAGGCAGGGAAATCATGGCATAAGGAAGCAGTGAATGACCTAGAAATAGGCCCAGGGTATTAATTCTCAAGCCTGCCTCCAGTGACATACTTCCTGCAGCAAAGCTATACCTCCTAAACGTTTCATAAGCTCCCCAAACTGGGGACCAGGAGTTCAAATTAATGACCCTATAGAGAACATTTCTTATTTAAACTATCACAATTAACGATTCATTTTCTGTGGAAATTAGATATAAGAAAATTTTTATCAGAGATACACGTATGAAAGCAATTACATTTCAATTGTACTTTTATATGCATGGTGTGCCTTGTGTAACAATAGGCTGCAGTCAGAGAAACTAATATAGCAGTGACATCACTATAGGTGATAAAATCTTATGAGACCACTGTGTCAGATGGGGCCCGTCATTGACCAGAATTTCATAGGATGGCATATGAATGTATGCTGGAAGTGTATTTATTATAACACAAATTTTCATATTTTCATTCACATCTTCAAGAGATGACAGTGATACAAGTGTTGTCTCAGTTTACTCGAGGTTAGAATCAACTGGAAATCTGACACTAGATATTAACACATGCTTCGTTTCCTTTGTTTCCTGCTTAAAATAGGCTAATGTATACTATGCTACCACAGCCAGTGGAGAGAGCAGAGCAATCAAAATATATAAAACTTCTATTTTGGTGTTCAAAGATCGTGATAAGTATGTAACTGGAGAATTCAGGTGAGCCTAGATTCTTGAATTCCTTTTTCCTCAAGTGCTAAAATAGTAAAATGCAGTGATTTAACAAATGTTTACTTGTTCTAGATTTCGTCGTGGCTATTGTAAAGGAAACCCTAGGAAAATGGTGAAGACATGGGCAGAAAAAGAAATGAGAAATTTATCCAGGTGACTGGCGCGGTGTGTATGAGAGAGGGTGTGGTGCACATGCTTAACTGCGTCTGTCTGGGTGTCCATGCCCCACCCTTTCCAAGCACAGGGGACTAATTAGACCTTGTCGTTCTGTTGTACGTGCTGAACTAAGTAGAAGAATTTTGCTATTCTGATGAGCCTGGAGCCATGTTAAAACATGTAGTATTTGCTCTACGAAAGATAAGACAGGATTTTAGATAGGAAGTGACTTGGTGATAATAATGCTGTCATTTAAGAGTCACAGGGGAGCAAGGCACTTGTGGCACACGCCATTAATCCCAGCACTTGGGAAGCAGAGGCAGGTAGATATCTGAGTTCCAGGTCAGCCTGGTCTACAGAGTGAGTTCCAGGTCAGCCAAGGTTATGCAGAGAAGTCCTGCCTTGAAAAAAAAACAAAAAAACAAAAAATACATGCATATGTACATACATACATATATACACACACATACACGCATACCTGCATGCATACATACATACATACATAAAATTATAGGGGTTTTAGATAGATTTTTGTCAGGCCCTGAGCTCTGGCTAATCACTTGCTTTTCCTACGCAGTCCAGTTTAGGACATAAAATGTAATTTTGTCATAACTACTATTTGAAAGTATACTTAACCTAGCTTTCTCAAAGTTTATGGATTTCTCCTTCCTCTTTCCAGTGCCTTAACCTTTTCCGTGCTATCTGTAGGTATGATTTGCTATTAAACCAGTACCATTTGTTTTGGAAGTCTTTTGAAATCTTCTGTGTCCACTTAGCTACTAGAGTGTGTGCAGTGACTTTTTTTTTTAATTTTTTTGAGATTAGTAAATTCAAAATATAATTGTTGGCATAGCTGCTATGTCTCATCAGTTCAAAGGTGTGCTTTCTTTTCACAGTGAAACACCTCTAGAAGTGGACTGGCTGTCACAGGTTATGGGATGTAATAGTTTACAGTGTTTTAGTGTTCTTGGTGACACATAATGGTGCCACTTAAAATCACTGGTTTATGAAATAGCAATATAGTTGAGAGGACTTGGTGACGTTTTCTAACAGGAGTTGTCATGCCATGGTCTGTCGCTGCTATATTTTGTTTATGTCTTTTGACCTTCCAACTGTCTTTTTATCTATGTCACAGGCTAAGAACAGCAGAAATACCATGTCCAGAACCAATCAGGTTAAAAAGTCATGTTCTTCTAATGAGCTTCATTGGCAAAGATGACATGTAAGTATATGGACTGTCAAAGAATTTCATGGTGAAACTATTTAAAGTCCTGTGAACTATTCACTAGGGTAATTATTTCCCACATTTCCTTTCATGGTTCTTTCTTACTATGTTAGTGCATAACTGTTCTGATATGCCATTGTGAAGTTTCACAGTGTGTTGTAAGTTGTGATTTTATCCTAAACAGCTGTATAACCAAATCACCACACAGAGACTGGATTTATTTAGTTAACCTAGAACACAATGCTGGGCAATAGTTAACTCCCTCCTAAACCTCCAAGCCCTCATAGTTTCCTAACATTTAGATTTTACCCATTTTACTTGCTTTTTGTGAAATCTTAAGTCTGATTCATTTTCCACATCCTCTCTCCTGCCTCTGCTCTCCTAGCTCTGCCCCTGCCCTTTTGCCTCCCACTCTTTTCCTGCCCTCTGGCTCCTCCCCTCTCCCGCCTACTCCTTCGTCTCTATTGCCCAACATTGTGGCTGGTTGTTTTATTTTTGATGTTTACATAATGTTGAGACAGATGATGCTTAGAATAAGTATAACAATGAAATATCTGGATTGAAACCAGAGAATTGGGGGAAGAAATCGCATTTGAATGAACAAGGATAAGGTGTATACATTTCAAAAGAACATTATACCAACAATGGTGCTTCAGAATAACAAAACTAACCTTGGTTTTGAGAGATGTTTAATTTATTAAAGTGTTGGGAATTACTTGTGATTGTCAGCATTTTGGAATGACATTCATCATTCCATTGTCAGTTTACATGATGAATTATAGAAGAGAGGTGTGTGTAACAGTGTAGAATAAGGCACGAAAATTTGATCTTGATTTTATCTTCATTTCTTTTTTACTTGAGGCCTGCACCACTTTTGAAAAATGTCCAGTTGTCAGAATCCAAGGCACGGGAGCTGTACCTGCAGGTCATTCAGTATATGAGGAAAATGTATCAGGATGCTAGACTTGTTCATGCGGATCTCAGTGAATTCAACATGCTGTGAGTGTGGTTTGTTTACTAGAAACTGTACATAAGTTAGTCATGTTTAATTACTTTTAAACAAATACTAGTCTACAAAGTCATACTTTATGCTCTTGTCGTCCGCATAGTGAGAGTTAAGATGTGGTCACTGCCTTCCATGACCTTAGCAATATAATAGCTGACTGTGAAGTGTCTAGCTTGTTTGATAGAGCAATTGCTTAGACTATATATATGTGAGGCTTTGGATTCCATCCCCAGCACAAGTTCAGGGGAGGGGGTGCATTTTAGCTGACTTAATAAGCTTTGAAATTTTCTTGATTTTTCATCTTTTCATTAGTCAGGATAGCCCTTTCTCATCAGCTGTAATCATTTATGAATTACTTAAGGTGGATTTAAAAAAAATGGTGGTGCATGCCTAATGCCTATAATCTCAGCACTTAGGAAGCTGAGGTGAGAAGAATAAGAGTTTGAGCCTGACCTGTGCTACATATGAGAGCCTATCCAAAACAAAAAACAGAGTAGATTGTTGTTTCATCTTGCTTTTTTTTTCTTTTTTGAGATAGGGTCTCTTTACATAGTTTGGCTGTACTGGAGCTCACTTTGTAGTTGAGGCTGGCCTTGAACTCACAGAGACCGAGCCTCCTCCCAAGTGCTGAGATTAAAGGCATTTGCCACTACATTCAGCTAAAAATGTGTAGCCCAGGCTGACCTGATCCTCCCACCTCTGCCTCCTTCAGCATATCCTACCTGTGTGCCACCACAACCAGATTTAGAATAGATTTTTTTTTTTTTTTTTAAAACAAGAACATAGTAGTAACCTATAACCTCTGTGCTTATTGCCCTCAAGGTACCATGGTGGGGATGTATACATCATTGATGTTTCTCAGTCTGTGGAGCATGACCACCCACATGCATTGGAGTTCTTGAGAAAAGACTGTGCCAATGTCAATGGTGAGTAGAAAATGGAATTTCCTGACAGCTCTGGATAAGGGAGCATTTTTCAGCCTGAGTCCTGACCTTTGGGAGGTCAAATGACCCTTTCACCAGGGGTCTAATGTCAGATATCCTGCATTTCAGATATTTACATGATGATTCATAACTAAGAAAATTACAGTTATGAAGTAGCAACAAAAATAATTCTATAGTTGGTGGTCACCACTACCTGAGGAACTGTATGAAAGGATCGTAGCATTAGGAATGTCTAGAACCACTGGGATAATGTCTTGTCAGTTGAAGTGGGAATGTAGTCTGGCATAGGAATGCTACGTTTGCCTCTCATGTGGAAGGCCCTGCATTTGGTCCGTGGCACCAACAAACAAGTCTTGCTACTGTATTGCTCAGTACAGTGCCACTTAAGCCATTGGCTGCAGATGTTGGTGTTGTTATTTCTTGCTCTGTTCTTTAGCTGAGGTAGTAACTATTCCCCTTATGGCGCTGTTGTCAATGTTTTTCCTTCTGACAGATTTCTTTTTCAAACATGCTGTTGCTGTCATGACTGTGCGGGAGCTCTTTGAGTTTGTCACGGATCCTTCCATCACCGCTGAGAACATGGATGCTTATCTGGAAAAGGTAAGATGGGCTGAGGAGAGGAATACGTATGACTTGCCTTTATATGGCACATCTGAGGGATTTGGGTTGATTCTGAGTGTCATTGTTCATTTTGATAATTTCTTACCGCTCTCAGTTCACAATGAAATTAAAAACAGCAAAGAACTCAGGAAAGACAGGTTTCTTGACTTAACTCATGATTACAGAGACTTTTCCTTCTTGACACATGCCATAGTGTTCAGTGAGAAAACTTCAGGGTGTGGTAAAACATACGAGACATTAAGGACTAAGCATTAAAAGCACTTAAATTATTGTACAAACTAATTTTTTATCTTCAGAACTTTTTTTTTTTTTTAAGGCAAAGATCAAAGACTGCAACTGTGTTTACTAACCCCCACTAGCTCCTAGAAACGACTGTTCTGTTGTTATTCATCTACTCTTGGTACTACTACTAAGTAAAATCACATGCTGTTATAAAAAACTTATTTCTATGTATATATGTGTGTTTTTATGACTGTATGTGTGTTCAGATGCCTAAGGAGGCCAAAAAAAGTTATTGGATCCCTTGGAGCTGGAGTTACAGACGATTATGAGCCACCTGCAGTCAGTGTTGGGAACCAAACTCAGGGAAAAAAAAACAATGCAAAGGCAGAAGAAAACACCACAACTCGCGGCTGATAGAAAGTGAACAGGCAGGGTCTGCTACAGGACAAATGCTTGTGTGTGGCTTCTTGTTATTGTTGATGTTGAGTGCTCCCTTTGGGCCCCAAAAAGTTTTCTATTTTGATATGATCTATTTATGTCTTTTTAATCTTGTCACTTCTGAGTCAGGATTCTCATGCTTCCTCTGGAGTGCTTTTCCACCTAGGCCCTTGTTCATCTTGCTTTGCCTGGTGAATGTTAATGCTCAGGTCAGACAGTTGTCTCAATGGAAGATTCAGGAGAAACAGTGCTTCCAGGGGTATTGTTTTCTCTTTGATACTTTTTTGAGACAGTGTTTTCTGTATAGTAGGCTGCCTCAAACTCTATATAACCAAGGATGAAGTTGAAGTTGTGATTCTCCTGCCTCTGTCTCCTGAGTTCTGAGATTATAACTGCACCTGTATGTCCAGTTTGTGCATGCTGTGCCAGCATTCTTAGCAGCTGAGTACATCTCACTGACCTTATCTCCTCCTGCTGTTGTCTCATAAGTGCTGGGGCTTAGCTGTACACCACTGTGTTTGGCAAATTATGAACTCTTGAGGGACAGAAATTTTATTTGTATATTGTCAGTAGCTGATTATGTGCTCAGCAGCTAGATACTGTCTTAGTTAGGGTTTTCATGGTTTTTAAGAAATATCATGACAGGGCTGGAGAGATGGCTCAGAGGTTAAGAGCACTGGCTGCTCTTCCAAAGGTCCTCAGTTCAAGTCCCAGCAACCGCATGGTGGCTCACAACTATCTATAATGAGATCTGGTTCATCTTCTAGCGTGCAGGTGTACATGCAGGCAGAACACTGTATACATAAATAAATACATCTTAAAAAATAAGAAAAGAAAGAAACAACATGACCATGGCTCCTCTTATAAAGGAGAACATTTAGTTGAGGCTGGCTTACGGTTTAGAGGTTTAACCCATTATCATCATGGTGGGAAGCATGGCAGCATGCAGGCAGACATGGTGCTGGAGAGGTAGCTGACAGTTTTACATTTGGATTGGTAAGTAGCAGGAAGAGAGAGTAAGCCACTGGGCCTAGCTTTAGCTTCTGAAACCTAGAAGCAGCACCCCAAGTGACACTTTCTAAAACAAGGCTACATCTATTCTAACAGGGCCACATGTTCTAATCCTTTAAAGTAATGCTACTCTTTCTGAGCCTGTAGGGGCCATTTTTACTCAAACTACCACTTCCATGTATTGACTGAGTAACTATCAAAGTATTTTTATCCCTAAACCATTACTATTGATTCTAGTGTCTATACTTAAAAAAAACAAAACAGAAAATAGATGTTTTTTCCTTCTCTCTGTATTTCTAAAAGATATATTTTAATGTAATCATGTGTACCTGTAAGTATGTGCATGTGTGTGTAGATGCTTGTGTAGGCCAGAGGCATTGGATCTCCCTGGAGCCGGAGTGACCCACAGTTGTGAGCTCCCCGATGTGGGTGCTAGGAATGAATGCCGGCCCTTGGAAGAATAGTGCATGCTCCTAACCACGGAGCCGCCGCTCTGGCCCTCTCCTTGCATGTGTTTTAGTTAGAGGCTGTGTTCCTAAGTCAGAAGAGCTCTGCATAGAGTCTTTGTCACCTTTCTCCCAGTCACTGTTTGCCCAAGGGACTTTCATGGGGATTTATGCTGTCGTGGCATTAAAGCCTCCCATCTACCTTCCTTGTGATTGATTTCACTAACTTTTCAAGTATCAAGAAATGGTTTATTTTTGAGTCTCAGTTTTATTCTGATAAAGATTTTTGCTAATAGTTTAAAAATAAGTTTAAAACAGTCTTTCTTTCCTTTTGGTCTTGGCCATGAGTTGGGTGTAGGTATGGGTGTGAGTGATGCTGGTGCTAGGATGTGGGCTGTGTATATCCTAGGCCAGTGTTCTACTACTGAGCTACACCCAGTGTGATTGTGAAGAAGGTACTAAACGTACCTTGAGACTAAAAGAGTTTATTCTATTTCTTTTTAAATGACTGACAAGTCTTTGGTAGAGAGCCAGCCTACATTGCAGAAACTCACTTTAGGTACTTTCAGAATTGTGAAATGTCACACCCATGAAGATCAAAAATCGTTCATTACAAAATAGAAAATGTGTCTTTTCTAGGGTGAATGTAAAGGAATAATGTTTTGCTTTCTTTCAAAGGCCATGGAAATAGCATCCCAAAGGACCAAGGAAGAAAAGACTAGCCAAGATCATGTGGATGAAGAGGTGGGATTTATCATGCATTCACAGCCTTGAGAATACTTTTTGGCTTTTGCTGTGGCACTCTGTGGTAAAGGGTCTTATTGTATAAGCCAGGCTGTCCTAGAACTTGATATGTAGTGAGGTGACCTCAGACTCACACTCTCCTTCAGCTGCCTAATTGCTAGAATTACAGGTGTGTGCCACCATTTCCAAATAATGCTTGTGTTACATGATTTTGCATGGTTTTGTTTTTGTTGGTAAAGCATGAACTTGATTTTATAGACACATGGCACACAGTTTACTTTCAGTTATATTATTGCACTCAGCAACCTCTTAGTCTGTTAGTCTTTTCAAATTGCTTTTAGCTTACCGCATAGCAGACATGACACAGTGTGTACACAGGTTGGCTGAAGGTCAGTGTTGGAAATACCAATTTCCGCATGGTTGATAGAGCTAAAGACAGAGTATAGGAATAATAGCTTAATTTTGCTTTCCTCTATTAGGTGTTCAAACAAGCATATATTCCCAGGACCTTAAATGAAGTAAAAAATTACGAGAGAGATGTGGATGTAATGATGAGGTTGAAGGAAGAAGACATGGCTCTGAGTACCCAACAAGACAATGTGAGTAGCTTGCTTTGTTATCCTGGCGTGGTGTTAGTGAGATGGTTAGCTTCCTTTGTCTGAACGTGGGCCTTACACATTGGCTGTAAAGGGACTATTTCCTGGATTTAAGAGAGAGGTGATGTACTTGCATGTGCCCAGAGCTATAATTAGTAAAAGGCAGATCCACAAAGAAGTCAAGGATAAAAACGTTTGTACTAGATTGATAAGCTGTGCTTCATTTTCCTATATATTTGAATAAATGCTTAAAATATTTATATTATTTTTAACTACATGTGTGTGGGGTGGTATGTGCACATGAGTGAATGTGGGTGTTCTTGGAAGCCAGAGATGTTAGGTTGCCCTAGAGCTGGAGTTAAGAGGAAGTTGTAAGCCTCCCTGCACAGGTGCTGGGAACCAAACTCAGGTCCTCTGCACGGGCAGAACAAGTTCTTAGTCACAGTACACCTCTCCAGTTCCCTTGAATTTTGTTGTTGTTGCTGTTTTTTGTTGTTAACAGACCAAGGAAACACTTCCGGGTTTGTAGCCATATAGCAAAACTTAGCTGTTTATATGTTTTCATATAAAGAGTGAAGAAATGTTCTCCAGATTTTCATGCATGAAATAAAATCATTAAAAAAATATTACTATGTTTGTCAGAGCATGCCTGCCGGGGTGCCTGTAGGAAGGCCAGAGGACAGCTTTATGAGGTCACTTCTCTTCACCTTTGTTTAGCTCCTGAGGATCGTAGTCAGGCTTTCACAGCTAGTGCCTTTATTTGCTGAGCTAGCTCTCTGGACCAAAAACACTTTAAAAAAAAAAAAAGATTAATATTTACATATGTCTATGTGTCTGAGATTGCATGTATACATTTATTTGTGTGTGTGCCCTCAGGCCAGAAGAGGGTATTGGGGTACTTGGAGCTTTCTCACCCACTGAGTATAGGTGCTGGGATCCTAACTGTGGTCCTCATGATTGAACAACATGTACTCTTAATCACTGAGTCATCTTTCCAGATTCTGGAAAGCACCGTTAGTAATAATTACAACTTTTGGTGAGAGTAGATAGGGTTGTTTGTGAAGCGGCTAACATTTCATTGAATAAAGTTCAAAGTCAGTTTTTGCTGTCACCTAGTGGGTGGCAAAGTTCATCTGAAAACTAAGGGGTTTTGATTGTATTGGGTCTGTGGAGGTGCATATGTGAGCCACAAGAATAATGGCATGCTATGTTCTGTGTTACTGTGTGATAGAATGTGATAGTACATTCACAGAATAACAGGGGACCATGTAGTCCAGTGTTTAATAATGTAGTATGTATATATCATTGTCAGATTTATATGTATTCTTTTTCCTTTTGTTTACAAGATTCTATACCAGACTGTGACGGGATTGAAAAAGGATTTGTCAGGAGTCCAGAAGGTATGAAGAACATGTGTTGCTTTATAACAGAATTTATCTGCAGATATTTTACTGCATGTGCTGTGACATGCTTGTGAATACACACACAAATAAATGTGGTAAAATATTTGCAGAATAAATTAAATTTGGAAATGTACCTCTTCTGTCTCTGAAGTCTTTCATTAAAAATGAGATTATTTGTTGATAATCCTGGTCTTCATTATGCAGGACAGTCATGATAGTCATACACTTTTTGATAGTTTTTACAATCAGTTTTGAAAAATCTCAGGTCTGGAGAGATGGCTCAGCCGTTAAGAGCCTTTGCTGCTTTTTCAGAGGACCTGAGTTCAGTTACCATCATCTACCCAGTTAGCTATAAGACAAGAAAATGGAAAGTTCAAGGTCAGCCTAGACTATGTAATAAGGTCCTGTCTCAAAAAAGAAAAAAAAAAGTTAAATAAATATGGTAAATTTCAGGGAAAATGTAACTTTCTCATTTCAATTAGATTAGCTCATTTCTAGTAATATAATAAATTCATAGGAAAACAGTTGTGAAGTCACCTAAATAGATCGTTGTCATTATTGCCTCTGCATTTTACATTCTTGCCTGATTCCAGCTCAACCGTCGGGCTTGCAAAAGCAGCAGCAGAGCTGTGTTGTTGGCTTAGGCTACCCATATAGGCCTAGCAATCAGGCATTTGTGCCAGGAGAGCTGTGAATGGAGCCCAACACATTTGTAGATGGCAGCATCGTGTTGTAGTGTCTATGAATGGCCACCACTGCTAATTGCTGTATTTGTGTGTGTTCTTGGGCCCTCCTGGAGTGAATGGATGTTGTCCATCTTTTCCCTAATGTTGATTCTGCTATGTTGATGTTTCGCTGCACACTTTAAAGTGTTTTTGGTATACTAATATAAAATGCTATTACTAACATGTTGACTAACAAATAGATAAGCAATTGGCTTCAAGTAACATGGTTCTGTAATGATTTCAAGGTCCCCGCGCTTCTAGAAAGTGAAGTTAAAGGAAAGGCTGGTTTTGATTCAGAAGATTCTGGAAGCTCCGAGTACTCTGCTACAGACTCTGAAGAGCAGGGAGATGATGCCCAATGCAAAAAGCATACTGCTGACCCTGACATTGACAAAAAGGTTAGCCAAGATCCTTATTCCTTCTGGGTGTGGTGGCTCTAATTACAGTTTCCATAACTAAGTCTGAACTTTGCTTTCGGAGTAAATTAGAGACTTGACTACTTTTAGGAACTTTTTTAGTTTTGCACAAAGGACATATTATATTTGTCTACTAAAAACAAATATTTGTTTCTTTCTAACCTTTATTTCTCTTGAAATATGAAACTTGTAAACAACAAGTAACATATAGGGATACTGATTTGACTGTGCACAGTTTTAACAGAGTTCATGGGACAGGGTGTAGCTCAGTAGTAGATGGGCTGGGCCAGGGAGGAAGGGGGAGTAGAAAAATAACCTGCATATAATGACAGGTATCTATCTTCCAAGAACTTGAAAACTGAAGTGTGTTGGGGGGAGTATCATTTGGGCCTCAGGAGTTTAAGAACAGTCTGAACAATAAGGTGAGACCCTTTTGAGAGATAATAAGGCAAGGATATTGCATGTGTGGGGGGGAAGCAAGTACATATACTTTTATCCACATAACATGAATTTTAATTTAGTTCTAATAACAGTTTGAATACTCTGATGAATAAAATTTGTTGGGGTTGTTTGTTTTTTACAGGAAAGAAAGAAGATGGTCAAGGAAGCGCAGAGAGAGAAGAGGAAAAATAAAATCCCTAAACATGTAAAAAAAAGAAAGGAAAAAACAGCCAAAGCCAAAAAAGGCAAATAGAATGAAGACATCCCTCAGCTACTTTTTAACTCTAAAGTAGAGGTTGTAGCTGGGGGATGCCTCTTTGTTTACCATCTCACTGTCAGGGAAGATGAAGGCGTGGTCATGTGGTTGCTTCAAAAGACCAAAGCCCATATGGTCGGGATCCAGTCCTGGCTCTGCATCTGATGGATTTATTAAGGTACTATTTGAATGAATAACTTTAGATATTTTATTTTTATATTTTTATCTTACAAACCGTTTTTCAGAAGCATCATAAATATTTATGATGAGTATCCACCGCCTTTATAAAGGTGCGCATAAAGGCATTTGGACAAACCTGTGGACATTTGTTTTCTTTGTATATGCCAAAGACATCTGAAATCAGCCAGTTACCAAGCTGTGGCTTATAGCCTGTAGTTCCACTCATAAGCCAAGTCATCTGGCTGTTCTGTTGCCATCCACAGCAGCTCTGGGACTTGTTTGTCATATGATCCTGCTTCATCTTTAGTATGCTCTTTCTCTCTGCCCAGCTCATATGCCATTTCACACTCAGCCATTTGGCATGTTCATTTGTTCATCAAATACTTTAGGTATTTTAGGTACTGGGTTACAGTAATGAACAAAACAAAATTACTTCCTTTGAATAGTTTGCATTCTAGTAAGGAAATGAAACATTAAACAAAATAAGTAACCTTCCAAGAGATTATACCTTACATAAAAATAATGCTGAATAAAGAGGATGCCTAGGGAGACAAAGGTTTGCAATTTAAAATAGATTTTTTTAGGATACACAGTGATACACTTGACAGAATATTGAAGCTGAGTCACACTGAGCTTCCTGGCACTGCAGTGGGTGAGTAGAAGGAGTCTGAGTTCCCGCCAGCCTGGACTGCTTATGCAGATGAGGTTACAAACACAAAGCCAAGTCAGGTACATCGAGAAGGAATACCCCAAGCAGAGCATGCAGCCAGGAGAAAGACGGTGCAGCAAAAGGTTCACTGCAATGATCAGGAATGGAGCTGCAGCATCAGAATCAAGGGGGGGTCAAACATGAGAGCTCATGGAGTTTTTAGCAGAGAAGCAGCAGGATCAGCCTTGTGCTTGGAAAGCAGCGCTCTGGTGTCTAGAGAATTGCAGCAAAGGTGATGATTGGCTGTATCCGTTGTCAGCCCAGGTGAAGGCTGCTGTTGGCTTGGCCTAGGATGGTAAAGGCGGATGTGGAGTTGCTTAAGGCAGCAGGTGAATTAGACCGGAGCAGCGAAAGGTGGCTTTAGGGTTTATGACCCAAGAAGCCACTGAGACCACTGCAGCTACTACGATGAGTCATGGGTGAAGTCAGGCACATTGCAGTACAGGTACTCACTGTGACTCTTCAGCGTTTCTGTCCCGTATTTCATCACAGCCACAAGACTTAACACGTGCCCTTTGCATTATGAAATTTAGACTCCACTTAGGGACAAAACTAGGGAATTTGTACGAAAATGTTAACATTTGCTCCTGCACTCGGTTGTTCTTCCTCTGCGATGTTTTTCTGAAACTCTACTAATGACAAAGTAACTTGCGTATTGAATTTACTTATGTATACCACCTGTTTCGTAAGCCTCCAACCTCAGATCAGAATGTAAGCACCACTGTTTTGTATCGCAGCACCTGGCCTGTGCTGAGACAGTCACCTCTTCGTTAATGTTCAAATGATAGTGCTCTATTCCCTAAGTAAAGGAGAGGCTGTCACGCCTGCCTCGTATTCGTAAGGGTGGGAATAAGGGATTGGTGTAGGTCAGTTTTCAACCCCCAGGCTTGTAATAAGGTTTATCCTACCACATAAAGTTCTCACCCCCAAATGAGTTACCTAATTGCAGTACATAACGGAGATGGAAATGGGGCAGCCCAGTCCATTTTCTGATGCCTTGTTATGTAACACTGCCAAGGCTTTCTGAGGGGTGGATGCCACCTTTAGTCTTGAGCCCCCTTACTTGTTCTGATGTGGTTGTGACACTGGGAAGTCACTTTCCTTTGAGGAAGAAGTCCTCATGTATAAATAGTGGGACTTGGACCAAATGAATAAAAAAATGTTATCTAAAATTCATTCACTCACAGTTTTTTCGTGTAGCCCAGGCTGGCTTCAAACTCCCTTCAAAGGTCCGTGTAGTCAAGGATGACTTTGAACTTCTGATCCTTATGCTCTTGTTTCTCAGATGTCACCACAGCCTGCAGTTTACCTAGAGGTGGTAGGAGCTGGGAGAACAGAGCCAGTAAGTGAAGCAGACTAACATTTCATGCAATAAAAGCCACCTTCATACTCTGAGGGCTAAGAGGAGTCGCATGAGTAAAGTGTACAGTCACGATGGCAAGCGTGTGTGCGTGTAGCAAGCTGCATGAGGCAAAAACATGTTTTTCCATAGAGACATGTCAACAAGTAACAGCCAGTTGTAATGAATAATCTGGAATAAACACTTATCCACTACACCTGGGAGGAGCACAAAACACATTCCAAGAACAGTTCTGTGCTTTTGAAGAAACTGAAGTCCTAAGACTTTTTCTTTTTTTTTTTCCTTGAAGTTTCCTCAGAAGTACTCAAAATCTCCTATGACTTCATTCTTGGATTGTGGTCACCCTGTTTAATGCAGAGCGAACCCAGCGCTTCCTGAGTCATTAGGCTGTTTTGCCTGGAGTTTGCTGTTTATACTCCTCACAGTCATCTTGCTCCACCAGAGGGAGCCATGTTCTTGAGTTCTGGTGTTTAACCAGCCTGAAGGGCAGCAGATGCCCTAGGTGGGAGAACTGAAGTAGCCAAGTTCCTCTCTCTACTCTCCCCTAAAGACCAATCCAATAATGGCACATTTGGTGCTTGCTTTCTCAATTAGTCCCTACTCGGAACCCCTGACAAACTTGTGCCTCAGTATATGCTTTGCAGAAGCCATAGCTAACCAAGAGTTAAGTCAGATGTGGTAGAGCATATCTTCAGTCTCAGCTTTTGGAGGGCAGAGGCAGGACGGTCACATGTTGGTGGTCAGCCAAAGTCAGACCTTATCTCAAAAACCACAACAGAAGTGGTTTTCCACGTGGAAATAATGCACTTTTCATAAGATGTTTACAGAAACAGAGCCTGAAGGGTCCTAGATTCACAGTGTAGAGTGCCGCTCAGCTGCTGATGCTTCATCTTCCTGGGCCTCAGTTTCCTTTCTCACCTTCATGAAGGCCGAGTGGAGGGTGGCTGCAGGGCACTGGGGCAAAGACCGTGGAGGACACTTGGAAAACAACAGTGAAGTACAGTAACTTGTTAGTGTTGAGTATGTGTCAAGAAGGTACTTCCCAAACGCCGGGCTGGGTATATTTCTACTCACTGAAATTCCTAGGTGGGGGCAGGAGGAAGTCTCAGTGGGCAACAGGGCCTGCTGCGCAAACCTGACAACCTGGTTTAATCCCATGATCTCAAACTAGAAGTAACTGACTTCCCAAAATTGCCCTCTGACGTTTACACGTGTTATGACTGTCCCCACCAGCATACACACAGTAATAATTTTTAAAGTAAGTTCTGTATGTGGGCATTTTGTATGTACAAAAGTAGGAAAAAAATGGGCTTTTCTTCAAAAATTTCTATTCAATTTTTATTATTAAGGAATCTTAATTACTAAAAACTAAAGTAGCAAGATAGTTAAATTGCCTTTAATAGCTATTTAAATACAAGCAAGTTCCATGTGCAATGTATAAAAGAAAATGGAACTTCTAAAAAAGGACAGGAAGTACAGATTGAATATCTTTTAGCTAACTTGGGACTAGAAATGTTGGGTTTTTTGATTTTGCATTTTGATTTTGCGTATTACTGGTTGAGCATCCCTACCTCAAAATTGAAAATTTTAATCATCACATCATTGATCAAAAAGTCAGATTTTGAAGCATTTGAAATTTGGGGGCACTCACATTGTTTTTTTGTTTCTTCTGAGGTGCTTTGTTCGTCTGTCAGTTTGCTTAGAATTTTCTGTCAAAAGTTAGGGAAGACAGGCTAGAGAGATGGCTCAGTGATTAGGAACGCTGCTCTTCTAGAGGAGCAAGGTTCACTCCCCAGGGCCCACATGGTGGCCTACAACCATTCCAGAGGACCCAGTTGGCCTTCCTTTGTCCTCCGCCGGCACTGCGTGCATGTGCTGCACAGCCGTACAGCCAGACGTTCATTCACGTAAGTAAAAAACCTCAAAAATAGTCATTAGAAAAGAACATGGCTTCAAGCTTCCTTTCATCCCCCAGGCATGCTATTTCTTTTAAATTTCTTGTTTTACAATTAAACAAAAAATCAATCAATAAGAAAATTTTTATTCCACTCAATAAATTCCTATTGAAAATTTTAAGGTTTTTTTTTTTTTTTTCAATCATGAGAATAATGCCTCAGAGAGTTATATATTTAACATGTGGCAGGCACATCAGGACTATCAAAATTATTTGGAAGTTTGTGCTTGTGAGGTTAGTATGTCTGGGGTTTTGCTAATAATGTCATTTGTTAAGTGACAGGATTAAGTGAGAATTAATTCCAGTACTTAAATTAGCACCAGTAAATGTTTACAGAAAGATAAAGGGGACAGGGGAGACATAGTGGATAAATGCATGGTCACAAAAGCAGAGGACAAGAACTTGGATCTTCCAGAACCTACATAAACGGCAGGTGGCATGGTGGCCCACCTATAATTCCAGGCTTGGGAGGTGGAAACTGTGTTGGCTAGTTTTATGTGAACTTGACAAGCTAGAGTCATTTGGGAAGAAGAAAATGCCCTCTTTGAGAAAATGCCATGTCCAGATTGGTAGTGCATTTTCTTGACTGATGATTGATGTTGGGGGATCCAGCTCACTGTGAGTTCTGCCACCTGTAGGCTGGTAGTCCTGGGTTCTATAAGAAAGAAGGCTGAACAAGCCACGAGGAGCAAGCCAGTGTCATTCTTCTGTGGCCTCTGCTTCAGTAACTGCCTCGACTTTCCCACAGTGGGAACTCCCAACATTTTGGAATAGTGTTAGATCATCTGCAAAAGCATCAGGTATGGAGTAGAGCTGGCCTGAGCCTAGGCAAGGTGTGTGGTGTGGATGGCAGCGCCAGGGAAGTGAACCTGCCTTGGGCTTTTGGAGCCCAGAGATTGTGAGTGAATTCCATATATCTGACCCTGGGCCTTTTACATTGTTGGGCTGTGTTTTTGCTTTGATCTGGTAGGAACTATACCCTAGCTCTGTTTTTTAAATAAGCATTTGACTTGTTTTTTTGTTTGTTTGTTTGTTTGTTTTTAATTTTTTATTTTACAGGAACCCATAGTTGAGAAATTAGATATTTTAGAGAGGCTTTGAACCTTGAAAGAGATTTTTGAGTATTTTAAGGAGATTGAGCTTTTTAAAGTAATTTTTAAAGATTTGGGACTTTTAAAACTTAGAATGTTTTATATTGTGATATTGATATTAATATGAGATCTTGGGAATGCAAAAGAAAGGGAAGGTTATGGCTTAATAAGTGGTAGGTTTCTATATTAAATTGACAAGAGGTCAGTTCTGGTTTTTTTGTTTGTTTGTTTGTTTGTTTGTCAACTTGACACAAAAGTAGTTATATCCAGGAAGAAGGAATCATAAAATAGAAAATACTTCCATAAGATTGGCCCGTAGGCAATCCTGTGCAGATTTTTTTTTTTTTTAAGTGACTAATGTGGAAGGGCCTGGGCCATTGTGGGTGGTACCACCCCTGGTCAGGAGTACCTGGGATTTATAAGAAAGGCTGTGAAGGGAGGCTGTGAGGAACAAGTCAGTAAGTCGTCCTCCATGGCCTTTACTTTAGTTATTGCCTCCAGGTTCCTGCCCTGACTTCCTTCTATGATGCAGTGTATTGTGGAAGCATACACTGAAGGAAACCCCTTCCTCCCCAAACTGCTTTTAGTCATGATGTTTTATCACAGAGTGGAAGTAAGTGTGACAGTGATCCCCAGAGCAAGCTGGTTAGCTAGGCTAGCAGTTCCCAGTGTCCTGAGTTCAGTGAGAGGCCCTACCTCCGCCAATAAGGTAGAGAGCAGTTGAAGATGACGTCAGACATCCCTTTGAGCCGCCACACTCACGCTTACACCCACACATTTGAACATCATGCACATGCATACCACTCATACACAATAAAACATGGATTATTATTCTCATTTACTACTAACACAAATAGTTCCGTATAGAATGAAGGATGACAGAATCTTCTTAGTCTTGAAAAATGGTGACCATTTCAGAGTAGCCTAGTTAAAGCATGCATCACATACTATAAAGTGTATAGAACACTTCCTTTTCAGTCTTTAGTATTGATGCAGATAGTGGAAGTCATGGTGGTATGAATGAAGTCAAGTGGTAAAAATGAGAGGTCTTAGCTTTTTTTTATTTTCTGTGTGTGTGTGGGATCATATGTATGTGCTTCATGGGTGGATGTGTGGAGACTGGAGGTCAACATTGGAGGTCTCCAATGGCTTTTCACTTCCTAGTTTTGAAACATGGTGGTCTCTCATCAAACCCAAAGGTTTTTTTCTGCTAGTCTGGCTGGCTAATGTGCTCCAGGGACTCAACTGTCTCCCACCCCCTTTGACCCTGGCTCTGGAGTTGCAGATAAGCTGCTGTACCCATCTTTTTACGTGGTTTCTGGGGATTTGAACTTGGTTCCTTATGTACTGAGCCTTTGAAGAGATGGTATTTCACTATGTTGCCCAGGTTAGTCATGAACTCTTGGCCTCAAATAATTCTTCCATCTCAGATTCCTAAGTAGGCATAACTATAGTTGTATGTCATGTGCTCAGGCCTTGTCCAGCCTGAGTAGCAGGTTTGACTTAAGAAAACCCAGATTTTACCAGTTTCAGTGGTACATGCCCTTAATCCCAGTTTATGGGAGGCAGAGGCTGGTGAATCTCTGAGTTTGAGGACAAGCTGGTTTATATAGAGAGTTGTAGGATAGCCAGGGCTAGGTAGAAACCCTGTTTCAAACCTTCCCCACCCCCTCTAGAAAAAGGAAAAGCCAATTTCTAGTCCACGATCTGCTCTATCCTTTTTTTTCCCCCAGTATACCCTGCTTTTTAAATTTTCTAAGTGGTTTTTATTAAGCTACATACTTAGTTCTGTCAATACAAAGAGGGAAGCCATGACTGTAACAGAAACCTAATAAGCTGCCTGTGTGCTGTGACTTATAGGCAAAAGCAACATTTGACATTTCCCACCTGGTTATAGCTGTTCTCCATG